AAAAAAAATATATATATATATATATATATATATATATATTCGAGAGATTCTGGATGACTCGTTGAGAAGAGCAACTGGAGTGCTTAACCGCCGACTTGCGCGACAACTTGCATGCTGCGCTCACGCATTTTCAACTAATATTTGGCATAATTTTTGTAATTAATAGCATTGTGCTAATGAGAATTATTGGCGCACCTACAAGTTTAATGAAAATGAATTTCGTTCAAACGCAAATGCTTAACGAGTGGTGCTGTTAATGCTAGAGTCATGTAATTCGAGTGACTTAATTAATGATAGCAACTTCGCGGCAACTTCTCATGTATTTGCACATGATCAAAGTCGAAATTTTTACTCCCCAGTCATTTAAATAAATAATACAGTTGCTGGGAATATGGCGTCGGTGCAGCTCCTTGTTGAGCGCCCTCGTCTCCTCATACCCTCGAAAACGGAGGTAAGTATGTGTTTATTCGTTTATTTGTTTAGCGATATGATGCGAGAGAAAAGGTTAGGGCGGCGATACGTTTCAATTTTGTCGCTGCAGCTATCTAGCTGCGATAAAATTTTTACAAGACTAAGAGAGGAGAAAATAGTGACGTTAGATATTAATGAGATTGTACGGTTGAGGAGTCGCGAGCCGCTTCACCCGCCTCAGTGTGCCGGCAACACATTTTCATGTCCCAAGACAACATTAATTACTCAAAAGAACATGAAAAAGTAAAGGTGAAGGAGTTGTCGGGAACAGGCGGCGGCCTGAGAAGAAAAAGTTCGAGGATGTTGACGCCGAAGGCCAGAAGAGCTTCGAAGCGAATCTGCAAGCTCACCGGGCTCTGGGGGGCGACGGAGGCGGCAGGCGGCAGGGGTGGACTCCTCAGTGAGATTTCGCCGCTGGTGCCGCGCAGACGACGATCCTCGAGTCTGCTAAGACGGGGTGAGTCCGAGAGGGAGTGGGAGGAGCCGTGACAAGTCGGCACTGGCGCGACTCCCTGCCCGGGCGTCTGTTGCTGCTGATGTCGCTGCTGCTGCTGCTGCTGCTGATGCTGTTGCTGTTGGTGCTGATGCTGTTGCTGTTGATGCTGGGACTCGGTGCCCGCGGGTACGAACCTGTACTCACCCTCGAAGAAGAAATCCGTGTAGTCCTGGGTGACGTTCATGCGTCGCACCACGAAACTTAGCTCGAGCTGGGCCGAGGAGAGACTCTGGAAGACCAGCCGTTCGCTCAGATTCGAGCAGAGGCAGTCGCGAGGAAGCCGTACACCCTTCCACGGGTACTCGGTGAGGCGAAGCTCCGCTAGGCCCTCATCTGAGCTCCATCATGAGGTGCATTAGATAACCGAATTTTTTCTTTCTTTTTTTTGTTTTTTTTTTCAAAATATCCCGCTCTATCGAGTTGTGGCGACTCGGTGACGGGGGGTGGGGGGTGGAAGAGGAGGAGGAGGGAGGAAGAGCTACTATCGTTACCGATCGAAGTGCTTTCGACCCGAAAGCTTACACTGTCTAATCCATAATGATTATACAAATATCTATAAAATTTTCGAAGCGGCCCTGCACTCTTTCATCGAAAGGACCCCTCCCCCCCCCCTCCCCGCCCCTCCCACATTGATGCTAAAGCTTAAGCTTGTCAATTAATACTTCAATTAGCGTGTCGATTAATATTTCAATTAGCGTGTCGATGCTCGTTGAAATTAAGAATTCCTTACCTTAGCCTTGCTCGCTTAGCTAGTCAAATTTTCTAATATTTGGACGCGAATAATTCAAATAATTAACATAATGGACCGATTGAAAAGCCTCATTGTTAGTGCAACAATTACCAAAATGCGACGGTATGACGACCTTCGAAGGGCTGAAAGAGGCCGAATGATAATTACGACGGCCGATTCAAATATTTAGACCGGATAAAGTTAATAGGCGAGCTAAATAGGAAACGACGTGCGATCCAAGTTCTTTGGGAAAATCTTATTCCCGCAAATGTGTAAATTTGGCCAAATAAAGCGTCATGCAAGAGTATCTAGAAATTGCAGCTAAGTGGACGTGGTGACAGGGACATAAAGCAAGGCGTGATGCAGGTGACAGGTGACTGACCGGGTTCGTGTTGAGGATTGGCCGGCCTCTCGCAGGCCCACCTGTTGACAAGTGGATCGATGCTGGAGCGGCAGCTCCTCCCAGCGAAGGAGGCCCTGGTGATGGCGAGCTCGAGCCTCTTGTCGGGCCCTACCTCGAACCTATAGACACAGCTGAGATTGGCGGCGCCGCCCCGGCCGTAGAAGAAGACGCTTCGAGGCGAACCAAAGGGCCGCACCTCGGTGGCGCCGGGCGCACTCGGAGCCAGGAATAGCCGGTTGCAGGAACTCGGCTCTCTGACGAACTCGTAGCGCAGGACGAAGCTGACCGGGTAGAGAGCGCTCCCTTGACGAAGCACGTGCTCGAGGGTCAGATGGCGGCCCGTCGACACGTAGCTCTCGGCCATGCTGCACGGCCGCGTATGTCGACTGCCGTTCCGCAGGAGGCTGTGATCGCAGAGCCGCGGGATCTCCTCCTTGCAGAACTCGCCCATGAGCGTGGCATTCTGCGGGGGACAGGGGGACGCGAGGGTGATAGAGTCTAGTGGTACCGTGGCGGCGAAGGCGACGACGAGGCTCATTAGGTGAAGCGATTTCGGCTGTCAAAAGCTTCCCGGGCAGCTTTCGAGTCCGTGAGGGCTTTAAGAAAACTCGCGGGCTCGCGATGTTACATATCGATCCGTATCCTTTTTGCCTCCTCTTGAACAATAATTGCCCGCTGCTGACGGAAAGATTATGAGTACTTGGGCGCGGTGCCGTAATCCTGGTACTTGATTATCTGTATTTCCAGAGAGGAATTCCTATTTTCGAGTCACGTACTTCATAAAGGCTCTAAGATATTTATTGCTGCGTACGGATGAAGCTCCGACCCCCCTTTCTCTAGTTATATTACAGAAATTGTAACTCCTTTAGCTACGATAACCAAGGGACTGGTTATTTTAGTAATTATCTTTTACCTTTAATACATACTATTTGAGCACATTTATTAACTTTTTCTTCTTCTTTTTCTTCGTCTTTTTTATGTTTCTTTTCATTAATTTTAATGAGTTTTGAGCGAAAGTATCTGGTATATCGAAGGTCCCATTAATTTTTAATCGTAGATGCAAAATATCTTGAAATTTTTTCAATTAAAATTGCATTCATTTTGAAGTTGGTACGAGCAAGTCACTTGTGCAATTGAAAATTAGCCCCTGTAAATAGTTAGTAACGTATCGCTTGACACGAAGATATCGTTAGTTACGTAAATAAGGTTTGTGTTATGATAACTCGTATTTAAAGAGCCAAGGCTCAACTGCAAATGTTACGTTGCACGTTTCAACCTCATAATCCTCGAGGTGTAGTAAAACATGTGACCCAAATACTCAAATTCTTGCCTTTGAATGTATATGCATTCGCCGTGTTAATACATTAGAGAATAAACCAATGACGACTTTTATAAACAAATCGCAGCTGAACATTTCTCCTCGCTGTTTCCTATGTCTCTCCTCCTCTCTCTCACACGCACGCACGCACGTACGTACGCACACGCACACGCACACGCACACGCACACGCACACGCACACGCACACACACACACACACACACACACACTCACGCAAACACTCACGCATACACTCACGCACACGCACACGCACACGCACACGCACACGCACACACACACACACACACACACAATTAGCCTATCTGCCTTAAATATAATTCTTAATATATATTGAATTATACAGATAAAGAAACAATTGCTTTTTATTTCCGTTTCTGGAGCAATGTTTCAGGCAATGCATATTTCCATCATAATTTTAATACCCTATAAACTTGTTTTTTTACGTTTCTCTACCTTATCCGTATGACAATAGTACTGATTATTTGGTATTTAATCTCTTAAAAAGTCTTATATAAATCATATTCAAATATTTTCACTAATTTAAATCTGAAATCAATATTATTCAACTAAAGATTTCTTTATATATATAGAAGATATATATATATATATATATATATAAAAGTATTAATAATTTAATATTTTAAGAAGTTTAATAAAACATTGTAACATTTAACACATTGAGATTGACGATTTTTCTAAGTATTATACTGCCTGGAAGTATGAGTTAAAGAAATAATTCATTCTTCTAGTTATACAGTTTAAAAAAATTATTCAAAACTTTAAAGCGACATTCAATATAAACGTGAGCAAATCCATCCCCTTAATTATTTTTCTTTTTTAACGTTGGATTAATTTAACAATGGAATTCTTTTAAAAATGTATGTACTGTTTTACGCCTACAATATACTACTGTAAAATTGAATTTATCTATCGAATTTCTATTATTTATCGAATAAATAATCAATTTATTTATGTGATTTTAATAGGCTGAAAATTTATTTACTTGAAAGCTAAAGTTTTACTATTTGAATTCTCGAATAAAATATATAATAGAGTAAGTAAAATAGTAGTAAATAAAATATAGAGGAGAAAAGAGTTCTATAAAAGGCATTTAGTATTTAGAAAAATTATTTATTACGTTAAGGAATATGTTTCTTTATTTAATAATAAATTTAAACAAACTTCACTACGAGTGTTTTATTTATTTTTGAACTTGTCTTTTTATGCTTTCGTCATAAAAATTTAATTTAAAAAGTAACCTCTTAAAACTAACGTGTAAGAGCTTATTCTTTTAATGATATTATAGCAACATTTGCAAAATGTAACATTAAAAAACTTAATCATTTCGGTCGAAACCTGAGTGAATTTTATTCGAGCTATAGAAAAGTATTGATTATATGGATGAAGCAGTGAATAAAGTTTAGCCGTAGGTTCTGAATTGCGTTCTTTTCCATATTATTTAGAAGTACAATTGAAATAGCTATTTAAATAAAATAATAAAGTAACGAAGTATCTGAAAAGGATAATGCACGAGAGAGAGAGAGAGAGAGAGAGAGAGAGAGAGAGAGAGAGTGAGAGAGAGAGAGTGTGTGTGTGAGAGAGAGAGATATATTGTAATTGCAATAAGTGGAAACTTGGGAAATACTTTGTTCTCGCTATTAAGCTCGGAAATGAGATGTAAATATAGCTTTCACATGAATTTCAAGTTATATAAATTATCACCTTAGTGATAATGATCGAGAACACCCTACGGAGAGTCCATATATTGGGAGCACAGGAGCAGAAAAAATTTGCATTCCCCTATAAATTTTCTCAATTTTCGACTCAAATTTTCGGTAGCGATCCAGTCGGCAAATTTTACATTTAAACAACCGTAGCGAAATTTCTATTTTTTTTTCACTCGATATGACGCTCGTGTTTGGCACTCAAAACTTTCCTAGGATCTCGATTGTCCCGAAGTCGAAAAGTCTTTCGCCACGATGCACCACGAACTTTTCGCATTTCGCACTCTTCCCCTTCCCTAGTCGTCCGCCTTACCCACCGCCATTCCCCTACCGTCATTCCACTTAATCTCGTCGTTCGCTACTCGGAATTATTATGCGACAGTCCCCGAAATCGCTATCGCAGCGATCTCACTAGATTTAGAGCCCCGCAACAAGGAGGTTAGGTTAAATACTTACCTCCCGGGTGGCGGCCGGTAGCCTGTCGTCGGCCATCGTCTCCGGTGCCTCCAGCCATCCTGACTTGTTTCGCTCACCGTTCCAGATCAGGAGCCGCACGTTGCATTCGGTGGCGGCGTCATCGGCCGTGACCGCGAGGTTGTTCACCGGTTCGCTCGTAGCCGCGTAATACTTGACGAACGCCAGCCAGACGATCTCGCCGGGCTTACCCTGGAAGTGGTAGCGGCAGGTCGTGTTGGGCGGCAGCGAGTGCTTCGGATTCTCGAGGATGCCCGACGGGCTCTCGTAGCTCGTTATATAGAAGTCGCACTTCTGCTTATCCTTTACGACGAAGCTCGGGGACGAGCGTTCGTCTACGAAGATCACCTGCGAGCAGTCGTGGTCAATTCGCAAAGTCCGCGGCCTCTCGGCCCCGGCTACGTCTGCCCTTGGCGCGGATATCTCATGACGCGCATTACACTATTACAATCGGGTTAAGGATGCCCGGCCGTTCGTCGTCCTCGAGGTCGCGAAGCTTCGTTATAATCCGCTTAAATAATCAATACTGATAATGTCATGGGACAGGAGTTAACGGATCAGCCAAGAATTCTAATGATCTTATAAGAGCTCGCGGGTGGTTAAGGACTCTGGATCGATCGGCAGTGCAGCCAGGCCGATGAGAATAAGAAAATGTACTTTGGGTTATTAGAGCAGAATACACGAAGGGACGCGTTCGACTTGGAAATTTAAGGAAGCGAAGTGTGGAGAGCGTTCGAGACTAGCGAGGTGCAACGACGAAGCGATTAACGAGCCGGCCAAGAGTGGACGAGACTACTCGGAGGAATACTGACCTGGACTTCTAGCTCAAATCCGGGCAGAAACGAGAGCGGTACGGGATGAAAGGGATTGTCGTAGGGCGAGGTGTGGAATTCGAGGAGCATCGTGTCACGGCTGCCGACGATGTCCGGTACAGCATCACCGCCGCACAGTCTCACCAGGACGCGGTCATTCGTCGAACCCCCGTCGTACACGGTCAGGTAGTCCTGCACGACATTGCATTGATCCCAGACCCTGTGGAAGTTGGCCGTGGCCGTTTAAGTATTGGATTCCTGGGCAAGACTCGAGACGCGCTTGCCGTGATGGGACGTACCGAGGTGGAGTGGGATACGTAGTCCTGGAGATTTAGGCTGGGATTTACTTGGGTGCGTGTGGGAAATTGAGAATGCCAGAGCCCGAGGACAGATAGCGACATACGCCAGAGCATTTTCCAGATGAATTTATTTGTCTAATAATTTTCGTCCGAATCGGCCCTTTTTACGCTAACCGCGCCCGTTATAATAATTAAGAAGTTGAGCTAACGAAGCATATATTTACCGAATCTAATTACTCTTCCTTACCCGGTGAGTTTAATAAAATTATCCCCAATTGGAGGGGAGGCAATGAACTCCTTTGTTTGGTAAAAGTGAGCGCTAATAAGGACAACATAACTTTAAATCGCTCGGACAATATATCATCAACTAGCGCTGCATTAAATAGTTTAGGCCGTAATATTGAATTGTTAAATTGCTAATACATGGTTAGGATTATTATATTCACACGTACATCGTGTCATTAGGATAATTTGATAATATATACTTTTCCATTGATTTATTCATACCTCGGTGCTTTTAATATTATGATTATTCAAATTATAACGGTCACGTAGTTCTATTAATTCCATTTTAATATCCACTCTACTCATTAATAACGTCCGCGTATATATTAATATAATCCAACCAGACATTCGTTACAAATGGTCTCTCTCTCTCTCTCTCTCTCTCTCTCTCTCTCTCTCTCTCTCTCCCTCTCTCTTCTTTTTTTTTTTTTTTTATCGAGTAATTGGAAATTCACGGAACATTCCTGCACTTTCCCCGTCACGCTGACCAACGAACGACAAAGGCCAAAGCTCTCGTTAAGCCACTCAGCATAAAGATTCTCAACATGGATAATAACAATTACGAATAAATATTGAAAAAGCTTTAGCGACATTATCGGAATCGTCCTATCCTATATATAGCCGGTGAAAGCCGATTCTACACACACTCATCTCGAACTAGTCTTAAAGGCAGAGCGCCCTCGCTAACGCTAACCGCCCGATTTCCTTCGACATTATCCAGCACAGCAGACACTTTCATGCGCCCCAGTAAGTAAGCCGATGCGGCTTAGTGCAGCAAGTGCACATCATCGCCGCGGCCCGTGGGAAGGTGTCTCGGTGGGATGTGACGAGGGAGAGGTGGGCGTGGGCTGTTGGAATAGGGTCTCGGGTACTGACCTCAGGGTTCGCTGGCTCGTATCGTACTTGTTGACCTGATCCTTGATGTGTATTTTGTGGCTATTGCGCTGGCTAACCGCGAGGAGAGCCCGGTGACCCGGGGGTGCTCGCTTTTGCTCGACCCTGTAGTAGCAGGTGACGTTGCGCGGATACACACCGGGGTAGTTGGGCGACTGGAGGCGGCAAGCTCGAGTATCGCACCTGTAACGAGAAGTGTCGTGTTCTCGGGTTTTAATGCCTCGAGTTTGAGCTGGAGGATACGACTCGATCGACAGTCCTGGCAGTTAGGAAATCGATGTGTCGTCGAGCGGTACCGCTTGTTTTAAGTTCTGCGAGGGCAGTGGGATGGGAGTGCAAAACGCAGCTGCCCATTGGCGAGCAAAGTTACCAGGAAGGCCGGATAGCGCGTCTTTCGATAAGTTCGTGCTTTTGTAATTATAATTTGAATAGTTTGAATGGTACTTTATGCTTTGTTTCGATATCAGCTTGGGTGACTGTGATCCCAATGGATCGGGGAAGCTCGTACATAAAAGGATTTAAGTGGGCGGGAGGCTGCATCGATGTTTTTTAAAATTCAGTGCAAAAAGCGGCGCTAAGGTACATGCAATTTTAGGTATTTTAGTGTGGTTGGCGAAGCGATCGATGCGTCTGTTGTTGCTTTTGTAAACTAAGGCGGAGTAATACAATGGATAGGCTAAGGTCCGTTAATTAATGTATTCATAACATTAGTAAGTTTATTATTTAAATTTGTTATAGTAAAAATAACGAAGCGGTACTTTCATGGCTGATTTGTGGGAAGTGTATGGAGGAAACTTTTGTCACGCAAGAATAATTGACGCTCGTAGAAGCAAACAAATCTTTGATGGCGCAACTTTTTTATCCGTCGCATTTGCATAAAGTTTAAAAAAAATATGAGTTTCTAAAAACATTTAGCCTTCTTGACAGAAGTCTCACGTACAGATATACGAACTTTTTTCCCTGCTTCTGACTTTTACAAATACTTCATAATTCTTTTTGTTTTGTTTTAGTCATCTGCCCCCCCCCCCTCCACTCCCCTCTCCCCCCTGCCGCCCGACTTTAGACACAAGTTTTTTTCCATTCTTGTAACGTAATCTAGTAAAAATTAATTAAAATCTTCTTTTTATAAAAAATTCATTTTCATCGTGTACTTTTTGGACTTTCAAATTAAGATTAAATTATGGTAGCTCATTCTCCTTATTACAAATCTAATCTTTTTGAAAATTTAAAACATCGGATGAAATGCAAAATCCTTCAATAATAACTTCGCTCCACCTGCTTTATTGGGTTCACTGCTCTAAATTTAATCCCCAAAATTAAATTTTCTTAATCGTCTTATTATTATTTTTTAATATTATTTTATTTTATTTCTTTTAATAATCGGTGACCTACTGAATGGGAGCTAAACACTTGTGAAAATAAATTTTTCTGAAACGGATATTCTTTTATATTACATTTAAATACGTATAACTAATCATTAAGTATGCATGCGATGATATTGCAGTATTTGCAGTTTCATAAATAATCTTGAAAAAAAAAAAAAGATTTCACGGATGGATATGTATTCATTGTAAAAAGAAAAAAAGCATTAACAAAGTTTAATTTGTTTTTTTAAACTATTTTAGTACATTTTTAAATATACTACTTACGCGTAATGTTTTTGTTATATAACACAATGGATTATTGCACATCAAGAGATTTTTATGGATATTATGCTTTTTTCTCAAACAGCTAAGCATTATATACGTGAATTTAAATTCGTAATATGTGCTTTAAAAACTAGAAACTCACAGATAATCCTAAAAAAAAAAAAAAAAAAAAGAATAAATATTTAATGCTTGATGAAATAAAAATATACATTTCTGAAATCGCGGTTAATCTGCAACATATACGTTTTTCAAAGTACGTAACTATAAAGAGAAATATATACTAGACGGAAATTTATGAATTCAGCGTTCTATCGCTTTTGAATATATTCTAAGATCTTTCGATTTATTAATCTCAGTGCCAGATATTAAAATTGTCATAAAATGATTTGTAAATTATGTATACATTTACACAGCAGTGAGCGACAGAAAGTGTTCGATTGGAATTATTTCAGGTAATGTAAATCGTAATGATAATAACTTTAACAACATATAAGTTATAAATAAATTAAAAAAAAAAAAAAAAAAGTAAAAACTAGATTGTGCAATAGAATAGCGATAATCACAAATACAAATGTGAAAGTAATGGGAAGTGCTTTGTAGATAAAATAGATTATATCTAAATTACGCGAAGATAGCGTACTTTAAAATGTGTTAATATAAGAAGTTAATAGTATAAACGGAAATGTGTGTGACTTGAATATACTGATGTACTCGATAGTCAATGCCAGTAATCTCAAGGGGAATAAGATTCCATACCCAACGCAATCTAGAGATTGGAGCATGGAAGGAAAAATCTATTACATTTGGATATTCAATGAGGGAGAAGATAATTGATGAGAATGAGCTGATGTGTTATATAAAAAAATAAAGAAAAAAAAAATAATATTTCTCCGTTGGAACTAATTTAAAAATTTCTAATTAAATAATTTTCATACATAAGTAAGTAGTTATGTCGAAGCTAAACTCATGAATGGGGCAAACATTAAATTTTGCTTTACTGGTTGAATAATCGGGATTGCCGGGTAGAAATATCCTAGACAATATTAAGGATGCACCTTTTAAATGTACATACACTGGATTTTGCAATTATTATTATTCTTTTGGTATATCTGTGCGCGCGCGTGTGATGTTTGTGTTCATGGTCGCGTGGATGGCTGGGTGGTTACGTGTATGTGTGCGCGCGCGCATGTATATATGTTCGTATTAGTAATATGTATTTAATAAATAAGCAGGGCGGAATTCTTTTATTTTCCATGAGTTTAAGCTCCGATAAACCGATTTATAATTTTGTTTATGTATCGTATAGTTTTTTTTTTTCATGATAATTAGCATTTTTAGAAATAATTTTAAATACTAATGCTAATAATTGTAGTGAAATTTATTATTATGAGAGCGTATAACTGAATTTTCATTAATAATTAGAAAATAGAATAAAGCGAAATAATTCACCGAGAATGGTAAAGCTCATAAATTCTTGTTATCATTACGTATTGTAAATATTAGTACGACGACGAATTGTTAAAAGTCTGCCTTTTTTACAAACGAATAAAATTTTATTTGCAAATATATATATATATATATATATATATATATATATATATGGCTGGAACATAAAACTCCGCTTGTGTGCATACAGATATTAATGAGAATTTTAGTTTCAATCAGATATAATTGAAAGTAAATATTTAGATAAGATGACGTAGGCAAATATAGATAATCACTCGAGTGTAAATCAGATATATTTTAAATTAATGTTTATTATTTGCTCTTATTAATTTACCAGTAGACATAATATATATAACCATTTCATGATATTAATACGCGTTGATTTGTATACTTGTTACATTTGTAGAAGCGAATCTATTAGCGTATTGACCATTAAGATTATATAAATATTCATTGCATCCATGATATTACGGGCCACCCGACTCTACAGACAATAAACCGGCAATTTCAAATAAACGCCCACGTAAGTTTCAATTCAATCGCATTTACGCGAACATTGAATAAGCAGCGAATAAGAAAAATATTGCCTCGACTCGAGCGCTTTAATAGCGCGATAAAGCAACGAGTTAAGAAAGCCCGAGAAGCAAGAGCTAATAGGATGACCACCACAATGCCGATAAACATCGGAGTTCTTACGCCTTAGCGTCAAAGTACCACTGACCTTGTAAAAACGCGATCACAGTAAGTGGCATTGACCAACTCCCCGCGCCATGTGCTCATGCTGCTGTTGCCGTACCTCAGATGTGCCTCGCTGCGCTTTAAAAACTTGTACGACAGCTTGAAGTCAAAGTTGTAGTCGTTGCCCTGGAAATGAACGAAGCACAATCTTTCATCTCATTCTCATAATAGCATTCCCAGCGTTACCAGCCAGCGATGTCGACTCTTGTCGCTTAATACCCCTGTGCCAATGGTACGCGGAGCCGAATTAAGCTCGATATTTCCTCAAGCAATTACGCGATTACAGGTCCTTACGAGCGACCGTCGAACGATCGTGAATCGATAGAGATTGAGAGACATTTGATTTGCCAGCCGCTATGGCCGATGGCAAATGGCCACGACCGACTCGTCATCGCAAAAAAAAAAAAAAAAAAAAAAAAAAAAAAAGAAAAGAAAAACGAACAAGCAAATAAACAAACAAACAATCAAATAAAAATCCAACGCACGTAACGTCCGGAGGAAAAAAGGAGAAAAAAACTGCTCGGTTCTTCCGTTTGCCAATGATGAAGTATCGAGCCAAAAAGAACCGACAGGCAGCAACAAAAGCTCCACCTGAATCTCAGCATTCAGGAAGTGCAAGTTTAATAGAGCGCGCGGGGTCCCGTATACGAAGTTACAACGAAATTAGCAAATGGTTAGTTAAAGCCGGGGAAGCGCGTGACGAGCGTCGCTTCGATACAAACAAACTTTTACGGAACTGTTTAATTGTCTTATTAGCAGCCATTAGGAGCTGGATTTTTCAGCAAACAGGGCTATACATAAGCGACAAAGCGCAGCGCGTAACGAGTAAGTTGGGAGTTTGGCTTGGGATGGGAGGGATGGTGGGATGGTGGGATTGGGGGGAGGGGGAGGGGGAGGGGGAAGGGGGGGGGGAAGAGCTCATCACGGCCCCCCGGTTGAAGACTGCTCGACGGTGTAGCGAGTGTGCAGAGGACGCGATGCGCCGCGCCGATAAGCCCGTGGATACGAAAGGTGAGGGAGGCCGAGAGACCGAGAGCCGCTACGTACCTGACCGGACAACCGGGAGAGGTAGAGGGTCAAGTTGATGGAACGGGTCTCGCTGTAGTAGACGGTGTAACCCCAGGCGCTACCGCACCACTGTCCTCCGGTCGCTGGTCTGTCCTCCTCGTTAATCGTCATGTAGCCGTCGGGGCAGCCATCCGAGGTGAAGGATAAAAAGCGGCCGACGGTGAAGGTGTCGAAGGTTAGCTGAAAGAGAAATTTTTGAGACTCGTCAATCGTCGTCGTCGTCGTCGTCGTCGTCGAGGGGAACTGTGCCACGGATAGCTCGAGTGCCTCCCCGTGGGGATGGCTGTCGAAAAATCGATAGCCCATTCGCTCGGCTTTAATCTCCCCGGAATCGCCGAGCCCCATACCCGGACGTGCACGTCTTACGGTTTTTGCGATACTCCCGTCGCGCGACTCTCCCGGCCGATCAATCCACCCCACTACCTCCTACGCGATCCCGTCGACTATCGCCATACGCTCAACCCGCCCATACCAACTGCAGTCCCGTGGCTTTGCATTTCAATTAGCTCGCGCGTTTCGGCCGATCGCCCTAAGCGCTACTTACTACGGACAATAATAACGCGACGATACACTTATGAAAACGAATTAACGCCCAATTATGTCTGTCCTGCATGGTAATGGTATTCATTACTTTAATGGCCTTTTAATCATTTTCGTATAATAAATATGGATCGTGCCATAAGTAATTAAATATTCGTAAAATGAAATAAATATCGGCTTTAATTGATACGGATAATCATTTGATTTAATTGGAGTTCATTTGGCCGTGAATGTTTTATTTTTCGCATGCATTATCTCGATGCCGTGGTGATCGATTACAATCTCACGCGGTTTCTTTCAATGTTGTTTCAATTTGGTTTTCGGCGGTTGAATGCCGACGTAAAACGAGTGCTTGAACGTCCGCATTAATGATAAAATGCGATTTACGACTTTACGCCTTTGATGATTATTAATTGATCGATGATAGTGGGCGTTTACATTAAAAATTGATGTGATACTTTTGCGGGAATGACTTGGACTAAATAAGCGCCGCGATACCGTTAATTGCTGTTGAGTTTTCGTTAATCTGAAAACGATGACTAAGATGTTGATAGCAAATTACTTTGGTCTTTGTTTTCTCCATTGCAAGCGTCAACTAGCATGAAATGCGTATAAATCTTATCCACGAAAGATGAAGAACATTGTTCGTTAGTTAACATGACTAATGTCGTAATAATAATAAATCGTAATAATAATAGTAATAATAATAATGATTACTAATCGTAATAATTAATACGAAACGTATGCCTGAAATATAGTGGACATTAATTAATTACTTAAATTTTTCTCCACTTACTTTCTTTCGCTTTTTTATTTTTTCAATTTCATCACGAGCATGTATGGACATTTAATAGAGAATTTCAAAAATGGCACTATCGACATTTAAAAAATCATTGTACCATAAACATTTTACCTGGCTTATTTATATATCTTTAGCAAAAGTTGAACAATAGACTCCATGATTTCAAGCTAATTGCTACTAATACTACTACTATTACTACTAACACTACTACTACTACTACTACTACTACTACTACTACTACTATTATTATTATTATGATTATTATTATTTACTACTATATTTTATCATTAATATTTATAAACTATTATTGCTGTGCATGTGAATACGCAGATGCGCACGCACACCATTGCAATTTGTCGTTTTATCATATAAATATTATAAGACTTGCATAATCACCATTTAACAAAAAGTTTTAACGTGCTCAACGGCCTCTACGGTCAAGTACTTCTTGAAGTGAAATCTGAGATCATTGACGAGAGCAAATCGTTTTATAGAAATTCACTGGAATTATAACGTTAGTGTGATATTCATACTCAAATTGAGTAATGATTCATTATTTATTGGTTGGAATGTCGCAGCATCAAGACTATGCGATTGTTATTCATAAACGCGAAATCCAATTAAACTATAAAACTCGTAGAAATAACTTTTTTTGTCAATTATATAAGAAAATTTTCTCTCTCTCTCTCTCTCTCTCTCTCTCTCTCTCCTTCTATATATACATTTATATAAATATGATAAAATCGAAACTAAACCTCGAAACTAAATTACATTTCATGTAAGTATTCTGTTTTTCTTTATACTTTCTATTGCTGGGGAAAATGGAATAATTTATCTCGTACCGAGATATGCATACAAAGCATTTCTGAATTCCTGAGTACAGTGACATTGTAAAGGTACATCTAGCCAGGATCACTTCCCGTTTATAATGATTGTATTATAAGAATACACGTATACATAATGCTTGTATTAAATAAAATGGAATATGCAAGCTTTCATTCGCAAGAATAAATGTAATTTAGCATTTTCCTTTGCCCTCATTTCCCTTTGACGTGGGACAACCTTTTTCCCCCTGAAAATTTACTAATTAAGCATCTTAAATTTTAATACTAATATTTATAGGCAATATGGTATTTATTTAATTTTTCCCGTCCCTTTGAGATGCAGTTTGTCTTTCTCGATACGTTGAAATTTTTTATGATTACTCTGCATAAAAATTGTGCACATCAAAGCATATTTATAGCGAAAAATTTTTATTCATACTTAAAAAGCATAAGCGAAAAAAAGAAGTATATTATATGATTTTGCACAGAAGAAGAAGAAGAAGAAGAAGAAGAAGAAGAAGAAGATGAGTTGGGCGTTATTATCATATTATATTCATAACTCCGGAGCGTATTCGTCTTCCTTTCTCTTCTTTTTTCCATTTTCCTTTTCTCATTTTTTTCCCGTTTGTTTGTTTTGTTTTGTTTTGTTTTGTATTGTTTGTTTGTTGCTTCGTTTACGATTGTTTTTTTTCCGTTTGTTGTCATTGTTTTGTGTGTGTGTGTGTGTGTGTGTGTGTATATATATGTGTGTGTGTATATTTGTGAGTGTGCGTGTATATATGCGAGTGTGCGTGTATATATATATGTGTGTGTGGGTGTGTATGTGTGTGTATATATGTGAGTGTGCGTGTATATGTGTGTGTGTGTGTGTGTGTTTGTGTGCGTGTGTGTGTTTTTGCCTTTTACCTCAAATCGATATACTTTCGACAGTAAACATCGATTGCGTATTATAAATTCCCATTCGAAGCAAGAAAGAAAAATATGCGCTTAAATAAGATGAAAATTTTTAGACGTCCCGACAAAAGAATGCAGTTTTTTGGTTTACCGGACTCGCATGCGAACGCGCTTGTAAGCAAGCGGAACTTCCGTATGCCGGAAAGTCGATTCGCATTTAAAATATATGGGGGGGGGGGGGGGGGGGGGGGGGGGGGGGGGGGGGGGAGGTGAGAGGGCAGGTCGCAAAAATTGTGCACTACCAGCAAACATCTTTGTCGTCGGTAAAATCATCCTTGAAAGGATATTTGTAAATTGTGAAATATCATTTCATTGGCATCGTGCCATTTTACTTTTCACGCATTCGTACCCCGCGAACTCCCTTAAATATTGCTGATTACACGAGCGATCGACCGCAATTTAATGCGATTTCGTGTCCCACTCCTGTATTGCACAACCCAGCCTCTGTCCTCCATAAATCCGAGGGACCTTCGTCATTAACCCGGGGCGGACTTTTTTTCTTGCCAATCGCGTTTAAAGAGCGACTTGAGGCAAAAGTCGAGATCGACGAGAACGCTGAGGACGCTCGACTGAATGTAGCGAGCGTGAATGCAATCTTATCGCAATAACTCTAATCACCGAACAGTCAGCTACGAGTAAATTTAGCATCGCGCCGGGACATCGAGTCCGCGCTCCTAATTACGCTAGATTCTCCGCTCCCGCCTAATTCGCATTTCCTTCTGCTCGCTTCTTTTTATTGAATAATAAAAGGTACTGCGTAATCGATAGCGGTGGCGGCGCGTTTGCAACCACCCGAGCCACATCCCTCGTCTCCAATAACAAGCCTAACGGGCCTATAAAATCCCTCCACCTCCCCCCATCCACACCCCTCCCCCACCACCCAAACACCCGCCCACCAAACTCACCCCAATTACCCTCCCCGCGACTCTACGTAACAGCAACGTTCTGTTAACTCCTACCTCCTTCCTCCTCCCCCTCCCCCTCCCCTCCCCCCGACCCACCCACAAATAACCCTCCAACCATCCTGCCCATTTCGGTTGGCGGTCCTCATTGTCGCGGTAATAATTCCAAGATTTATTGCCACCCACGCTGTGCGTGTCCCGAAAGTAGAGTCAGGCCAAGTATCGTACCTGCACAAGATCGCCGAGTTCCTGGCCGGCCGCGGTGAAGTTGAGTTGGCAGAGGAAGGGCAGACGATCCTCCCGTGGCCGACGGACTTGGAGCTCGTAGGTCCGGCCCACATCCCCGTAGAGGGTGCGATTGCAGGCTACGGCCGAGAGAAAAACGTGAGTGTTTGGCCTTGTCGGGTTATTGCGAGATGGATACGGACTTACGGTGGCAGCATGTGGACGAGGAGGACGAGGAGGGGAAGGAGGAGGAGAGGAAGGAGAAGAGGGAGGAGGAAAAGTTAAGTACCGTCGGTTTATTGTCCATCGTTGGCCGCTAGATAGGCAACGGTTGAGGAGATAAAGGATGCGAAAAAGCAGCTTCCACGTTCTTTCCGCAAATCTTACGTAACCGCGGGTGTGTCTCGCCCGTAGCGTCCACTTTTAACGCTTCGTTAATCCACTAATTGAATTTCGCCGGGAGTTTAGACGCGGCGATTTAAAAGGCGCAATAATGGGAGCGCAAGTTCGCCTGGCTACGGCGTGCACCACGCTTTATGAAATTATGGAAAATATCGTTTTATTTTAGAATTACGTCGCATAAAAGTCCGCGTCTCGCTTGAGGAGCAAAGTACGGAAACCGTTCATATCGTTGATAATGCCTTTGAGAGAATTCGCACGCAATTGCATTGAAATAATTAGTGTTCCAATTTCTGCTAATATGCGTTCGAATGCTTGGCCGTGTATAAATATCGCTTTTATTAAATGGCAAAAGCTCTCGTAAGTGTAATTGTGACTGCAGTTGCCGAAAGCGCCTAATGCGAATTACTCGAAATAGTAATGTCGAAGTTTACAAGTTTATCGATTAAAAGTGCCGCGGAATATTAAAATTGACGCATTCCGTCGTTGGCTAATATTAATGTTATGAAAATGTTAGTCGTAAATGAATACGGAAGAAAATGGGCGTTAATTAATTTTCGATACCTCGACGAAATTCAATTTTCCAAACATCGGAGTTATTGAAGTGCGCCGCGTTCCCGCAACCTAGCAAAAGCCTTTTGTAATATCGACAATTTATACCTGTGATTTTGTAAATAACGATAATTTCGCGCGCGAGGTCAGTGGCCGAAAGTGGCTCGAAATTACGATCGACGATTGCATATTAATTAAATTTCGACTTTTATCGGTGACTTAGAGGGCCAAATATTACAAGCGCCTTCCTTATAATGAGTGAGAAATCCGTGACGACGGCGGCGGCAAATTTCTCGCGCTGAGCCTCGATTACATTTTAAACGCGGCCACTCCAAAGAAAATGCGACCGTATTAATCTTGCGGAAAAATATAGTCGATCGCGCGAGCGAGTTCGCCTCGCGAAAAGTTAGTTTTTAATTATTTCAGAGCTACCGTAGCGATTTGTTTGGTTCTCAAAGAAACTTTTAATTCACTTAGCAGTGATAAACTCTCGAGCAAAGTCCTTTTACAGCGGGGAGTTGATTATCCAAGCGCAGGGGCGGATAGCCTCGGCTATCGATACGCTTAGCCAAGTCCAATAAGTGCATCAAAGGGGGCTTATCAGTTTGTAGAAAAGCAAGCAATTGTTATCCGGGGCAGCTTAGCGGTGCGAGCGGCCAAGGCGCTCGGGCTCTCGCAAGCGGGTGGAAGGAGGCAGGAAGGCGGCAGCAAGGTGAAGGAGGATGAAGAGGCGGATGAGGAGATGGAGGAGGATGAGGGGGAGAAGGGTGAGGAAGAGGGTGAGGGTGGATTGGAGATGAATACGAGGATGAGGGTAGAGAGGGTGAGATGATGTGGGACGTGGGGAGGGGGTTAGAAGCACGCTGAGAAAGTGTCTGGAAGTGGAAGGTCGGGCCGCTTTGGCCGTAAGTGCAACGGGGGCGCGTTGGGGGCCCGGGGTGGAGGAGGGAGGCTACCACGGGCACATGGGTCGCCCGTGCTCGGAGTCCTCCGGATGCAGACTCTATACTAACGGGTGCAGTAGACGGGCTCGTCGCTCTTGTCCTCGCAGTCGTTCTCCCCGTCGCAGAACCTGTCCTGGGCGACGCAGAGGCCCGAGGTCCCGCACCTGTGTTCGCTGGGCTTGCAGCCGGGCACGGCCCCGAGCACCGGGGCGCGACCCGCGATCAGGGCCAGGGTCGCGACCGCCAAGATCAACCGCCGGCTGGCCGTCATAGGGCCGGCTAGTGCATCGCCCGGGCGTCGGGGTCGGCCTCGGGGTCGGGGCCCGGGCCCCGCCAGTACCGGGGATCGGCGCGCATGCGCGCCCTAGGATGCCCCCCACGAGGTGCGCCTCCTCGATGTCGAGGTCGACGTAGGGGTCCGCGTCGGCGTCCGCGTCCACCTCGCGCTCGCCTCGCCGCGATCGATAGACCGACTCGGAGCCGCTGGCGTCGCTTCGTCCGCCAGCGGGAGCCCGATGGGCATCCTCCCGGAAGGAGCGGCCGCGGGAGCGCCTCCCGCTCCTCGTGCAAACGGGGTGGTGCCGGGGGTGGCTGTCGCGCGTCTCCGATACACCGACCGACGAAGCTGACTCGCTAACTGGACAAGCGAGAGACCGTGAGACCGTGGGAGCCAAGTGGCTCGGCCGAGGGCGAGTATCGAGGATAAGGTACGACGGGCTCGCGATCGTCTCGCCTCGGACGGCGGCGGTGCGACTGGCACGGGAACTGGCGCAGGCCGCGTCGCTGTCGTCCGGGGGTCGCCGCCGTCTAGGGAGGCGCGCGCGCACGCCCCCGCCCACCATGGGCGCCCCAACGGCGGCGGCGGTGGCGGCGGCGGCTGCAGCATCAGCCGCGGCAACGGCGGCTCGTGTTGCTCCTGTCGTGGTGGTGGTTGTGGCGGGCCTGTCCCGAAATCAGAGAGCCTGGAGCGATGCGCCCCCGAGATGGCTAGAGGACACGAAGGAATTATTTTTTCTTCGAGCGACGTAGGCCGAGGTCTCCTGTGTCGGGGACGAGTCCCCGTGTTGATTGGCTCGAGGCTAGCGAACGGATGCCACCCTCTCGGCTTCACGATGAGCCGACACTCGAGTCGCCAGCCCCGCGTTCTAAAGGATCGAGCCTCTTTTGAGAAGCGAGGCGAGACGTGGAGGCCCGTAATCGCCTCCTCGGCCGAAATCACCGCATCGTTTGGGCAAGTGCGTGGTGCCGCGCGAGGATTTCCCGCTCGTGAATAATGCGACTCGGCGAGTAGGGAAGGTGACGCCCGGAGCTGGGAGTCGCGGACGATGTTAAGCCGAATATCGCGCATGAGCCAGTCGCCGAGTGGACGGTTAAATGAGTAAATTTAGCGCGTTGGGTAATGCGTGCCTCGACTCCTTTCGGCGCACTTTTCCGTATCCTTTTCGGGACGAATAATCGAATCGAGCGAAAATAGGCGAGAAGAGTAGAAAGAAAAGTATCCACCACTGCATTATTTACATCGCACTCAATTTCACGGATTGGCCATTGCCTTTGCTCCTTTTGCTTTTTAATTGCTTTAATAAGCATATCCACTTTTTAAGGAGTGTTCTCATATCCGAAGTATTCATTTCCACAACCTGGGAGACATAATTTTATATTTCATCTGTCCGCAGACGCGAGACGTCGTTCTCTGATCTATAAAAGCTCATTATGCCTCGGCTGCAATAAAAAATGGATTAGCATCGCGGTATCGAGCATCGAGGGATGTTTTTCATTGATTCCGAAAAACAAAAGTATCCACGATTAACGCAATTGCGTAATAATTATTGAGATTATTTAACTAATTTCAAAGTTACAGAACAATTAAGGCCGATTAATTTCGACTAGAGCTCGTTTTATAAAGATTTGGGGATTCTCTCTTTTAGTGGAAATTCAATCTTATATCTCTTTGAAAACTTTGTAATGGTAAGTTCATTTTAACTCGAGCGATTATTTACTCTGACGTACAAAAGATTCCCTTCAATATAGTGAAAATGTTCTCTTTACCTCCAAGTGATAGTATTTTCAATCTGGTTGAAATAAAATTCCACCTCTGCGAATTAATAAGCTAATTAACTCTGCGCACTTGTTAAAACGACTTGGGGGACACAGTTTGTAAAACATATTTTGAAATAACGTAATTTAAAATTTTTATTCCGAATTCTTTCTTTTACTTTTTTGAAGGGACTTTTTATTATTTTTACTTTTAATTTTATATTACTATTTATTCGTTTTAATTCAACAAAGAGTGTATAACTATGACGTGTGCGTCAGGGCATTTGCGAACGTATGGGCATGCGTATTTGGATGTAGGCGCGCGCGCTTGACTGATCTGTCAATTTCACTCACGAAACAAGTGAAGCGATTTTAACTTTAAAGGGCTTTTGATTTTTCTCACGCAATTTGAATCAACTATCGTTTTTTTCTTTTTTTTTTTTTTTTTTTTTTAATTACTCGATACGCTTATCTTTTGTTCTATTTTTCATTTTTTCATATATTGTTATGCCAAGTTTTTTCCCTCGTTAGTTTAGCCACCGCGTCAGTAAAATCATATTTTTCTTACAATTTCGTTATGGAGGAGTACGACAAACGATATTTACAGCAGCCGACTGAATATTTTATCATAATAACAGAACGATAATAATTAAAATGCTGGAATCTATAGTATTACGAACCGGAGATATTCAATTTCATAAATATGATTATAAATTGTTAAGTTAATTGTATGTACGAAAAAAGCAACAACAAAAATCAATTAACTGTCTATTATATAAACAGCTTGGAGGTATTTCTAACATCTGCAGGTGTACAATTTGTGTTGCTAAAATATTATTAAAGAGATTGTATGAAACGTTATCGAACGTCAGAGGTTCATAAACAAAATAACGTAATAAATTTCACATCGTCTATCGCAAAATATGTAGTAAGATTATCGTTACGGTAAATGTCATTTTATAATTCTGGTCCTGTCGACGAAATTGCATTAAGATGTGCAAGTCAATTGCTATTGATAATATATAAATAGTATCCATAGGGTAAAAACAATGAGGCTTGTCCTTATTAAATCATATTCAAATTTAAAAAATTGTTAATTTTCATAATTTCAATAATCCCGGTTACCATATATTATAGATACGTCATTTAATGGTTACAAAACCATAGTGTATGTCTGCATCATAATATTTCGAAAATAGTTTTGACAAGTTTCACTCACAAATAGGGTTCAATCGACTTTTATTATACTCTAACGAGTGCAATTCACCTATATAAATACATACAAGCATATATATATATATATATATATATATATATATATATACATGAAATAAAATAAAATAAAATGGACATATCGTGGAGAAGTAAAGTTTATTTCTATGCAGTAGTCATCGTCTGTCGTAATTTTCTTAAAATTCTTTCCTCAAAAATATCGACAATTTATCATGTAATTTCAGCAGCATTGGGACATTTACAGGAATATACGTACTTGACAACGAAAACAATATTGTAATTAATTGGTTATTACATATTCTAATTATACTATTAATTTTCATAAACCATATAAATAATCGTGGTATTTTTGAATTTCGCTTAAAATTTTTGAAAAATCCTTCTATAAGCTACTCGATAAGCTGAAAATTTCCCTACGGAAATAATGCTCATTTGAACATATTTTTGGACGCTCAACTAAACTAGTCGTACAATACTTAACCTCGGCTTGGCACTAAAATTGTAGTTGCAAGATCTCTCTCTCTCTCTCTCTCTCTCTCTCTCTATATATATATATATATATATATATATATATATATATATATATATATATATATTTGTAAACGATTATTTATACATGGAATTCTTTTTTTAAGAACGAATGGCGTTAAAAGAGCCCAGAGGATATATCGGCAATGTCGTAGATTTCAATGTACAATTTGTAAATTCGTTCTTCAGCCTTCACTTGAAAACAACAACGAGATGACTAATAATTTAAGAACTTTTTCCCTTCTCTACGCTCATGAATATAAAATCGTCGCGCTTGATGAATGTAAGCTCTAATAGTATGAGAAATTCGTAACTCTTTTTGGAATGGAAAATATTATTGATAAGCGTATTTCGGCTTCTATTTAATATTTGACATTCATAAAGAGCCGCGATAGAGTCGTTATATTTATCCGAACGTTTGATCTATAATTTTTCTACCCAACAGATGAGACTCACGTGCGACGGCATATACGTAACTAAAACAATCTACTCCATGAAGAATTTCATTAGCCTATATTAATATAAAGAAGCTTAGCTGATCAGTAGCTTGAAATTAACATAAATTCATTGAATAGAAAACTAATTTTTCATTTATTATGCTTAAGGCAAAATACGTTTCTTGAATAACAATAGTAATTATTATAAATGCTATTGTATGTTGCATAGAATTTTTTTTTATTGCTTTTTTTTTTTAATTCCACTTAGTTACTGTAATGAAATACGATAACAGGCATCACAATAGCATTGTGCTAAAGCTCTTTTCAAATTACATTTATAGAAAGTAACTTCCATTCGGTATTAATCTTACAACATTTTAGAATTAGAGCGTAATATCAGATTTAATTATTTCTAGTGAATTTTCATTTATCTCCGACTCACAAAGCAACTAAGATCGAATACAAAATGAACTCGTTTCAGCTAAAACTTCATTCAAAACGGAATGTTTTATTTTTATTATTGTTGCTTCTCCCATCCATTTGGAGAATTTCAACTTAACCCCAGCAAAACTTATGCTAATTGAATTTAAAATAGCTGACCCAACCGCGATCTGGCAAAATCTCGGAGAGTATTCCGATGATCAAAGGAGTTGAAAATAGTCGGTGCGATTGGTGAGAATGAATGGCCTCGAGGAGAAAAATCGTCAGGCGACAAGTGCGAGGCGCATTTTCCGACCCGAACGCGACGTCGATACAACGGCCACGCGACCGACAGATCGTTTTTCTTACGCGAATGCCCATCGATTAAGGGATTATTTATCCTTCCATTTATGCCTTCTCACGCTGCGTAGCGGGTCGTCGTGAGAGGCTCGCGTCCATTTTTCAAGATCCTCGATGCCCCGTTTAATTCGTGAATTGTCTTTGACATTACGTGAAACAATGCATCGGAGTGTCGAAAAGTGCCGATAGTGGGGGGATGGGCGACGATACGATGGGTGATAAAGGAGGAGTGGGGTGTAGGGGATGGGCGGTAGGATGAGGCGCGAGAGTCGTAAGGCATGAAATTAGGAACGGTTTGTCCATTACAAGTACCGACTCCTCTAATGGCTTACTTATTTCATCCCTCGAGCTTTTCTCGAGATCGCCTAATCCCTCGACGGCCATTCGGCTCCTCTCAATGCTTATAGATATACATATCGCTCGTATATATAATACAGATTTACTTTGCACGTGCTCGTTGTGCTTTGTTGATGTGTCGAGCGAATAAATAAAAGAGATTCCCTGTCGCTAAGAATGAGACTATTGCCAAACTTTAAACGTCTATAAGTAAAATAAAAAAAGAAGAAGAAGAAGAAGAAGAAGAAGAAGAAGTAGAAGAAAAAAATAAGAATAATAACTTTACGAGCATACATAAAAACAGTGGTCCTATGTGTAACGGATTATATTGGACTAAAGCTAATCTTATCAAAATTAATTGTGCAACTTTAAAAACTACGCATTAAGAAGTTAAAAGTTTTACAATAAAAGTATAGCGTTAAAAAGTATAATTATAATAGTTTAGTATCTTAAGCAAAGATTATACTTGATGGAGCTTGTGAACCTTTATGAATGGTTGGTTGTGCTATCGAAATTATACTTCAAAATTGATTTATTAAAATAAAATAAATAATAATAATAATAATAATAATAATAATAATAATAATAATAACAAGAATAATAATAATAAAAACCTAAAGTTGTCCAAACGACGTTATTACTTAACAGTAATATTCTCTCAACTTTTTCGATGTAAAATATTGAGTAATAAGACTGTCACGATATAATTCACTTCGCTTTATAACGTTACACATTTGATTTTTTTTTTTTTTTTTAACATATTTCGCTGCGACGATAAATTATTTCTGGAAAAGCGGAAAATTCCATTTTAAAACGTTGTTCAAAAATAATTCCAATGCTTAGCAGATATATTGGCAATTTTTTCGCGTTAACGCAAATACTTGGCTATTAAGGCACAATATTAATAGCGTCAAAGGCAATAATTCGACGAGGAAAATCATCAAGTTATTACGTATCGGCCACTACTGGGAGCTGAAAAATCGATCGACGATTGACTTTCGAAGGCGAAAGTCCGAATATAATGTGTAGATATATATATATATATATATATATATATAAGATGTTGATCGCGAGTATGAATAAATAATTGCAAAGTTAAGTATGAAAATGTTAGAAGAGTAACGTAGCCAATAGGAGCCCTCAAATATTATCTTTCAATTTTAGTTGTAAAATAGGTCTTAACTCAGAGGATAATTAAATGAAAATAATAAAGAATTACTTGGCTAACTTGGTATACGAGTAGAATAATAAATCTTAATAATGGCTTACCGACAGCATCCGATAAAATCTCGTATCATTTCCAGGATAAATCCTAGATGGTAATTATGTGCTTTATAGAATTTCAATTTGCAATAATTGGCTGTACAGTGAGAGTTGCTTGGACACATCGTTTTCGCACGATTATGTAGTGGACTCGAAATGGCCAAGTTGAAAGAAAGATAAGCGTTGAAAAAGCTCCATCAATCCCTGCACGCTATTTTACAATCTATGCGACAGTGATGATATCGCGCTAATGATAATAATTTACCATTAAATAATTGACCGACAGCGTTATAATAGCGCGTGAAAATAATTACATTTAATTCGAGCTGTGAAGCTGGAATTTTTCGTCAATTCAATATTAGTCAATAATATCATCGAAATACTCGTTAAATTGCTGAATTACAATCACCCTTCGACTGCCTCCGACTATTCAATATTATTTTCATATTCAATTTTAATCTTTGAACACGTAGCTCAAATCTCAAATCGATCTTACGCATAAAGTTTTAAATAATTACTCAGCAAAGGATATTTAATTGTATAGCGCAACGTCGTGTTAACATGCACTTATATATATATATATATATATATACCCAAGTACCGGCATCGTTTATTCTTTCACAAAAGTATTATGAGCTAGAAATTTCGACGTCCATGTCTTAACGTATTATATACATTCTCATGCACGCAATGAATTTGTTTATTTAAATTTTTCACGTGCCCACGTACGCCGCACACGCAGCCACACACGAGCAATTGGCTTAAGTTGCCAATCGCCAGGCCTGCAAGAGAAATGGCTATTTTGAAGAAACGAGTCCTTTAAATAATTCGGAACTATTTACATTGCTCGTACGATTTAAATATGCATTCGAATAAATCAGGAACCTTCCTTCCCTTTCAGAGGAAGCGCTCCCTTTCTGCTAAATGAATAAGAACTCAAGCAGGGATATTTTAATGCATTTACGGCTCATCTTTCTTTAAGCGTGAAAACCTCGGGGCAGAATGAAAAATGCCAAATCTCGTTAGACTCGACGACCGAGGAAGGAAACTCTCGCCGCCAGCCACCAAACCCCCCACGTATTCTTCAAAGTCCCAATGTTTGTTTTCCCTTCGATCGGCCAATTGCTAATTCTCCGATAGCTATGGCCATCATGAGAGGCGGTGGGGGGAGTGGAGGAGGAGAAGGAGAAGAAGGAGCAGGAGCAGGAGCAAGAGCAGGAGCAGGAGCAGGAGCAGAAGCAGGAGGAGAAGGAGAACAATGCCTTGCAACTTTTGCAGAACGAAGTGAGATGTGGGATGAGGAAGGCTGGGAAAGCGGAAGGCAATTTTTTCCAACTGGAGCGTCGGGGCAGCCGGATGATATCGCATCGGCCATTTATCAGCGTCGATTCGAAAAGTTAGAGGCACGCGTGTTGAGACCGGCTCCTAGCGTGAAAGGGGTCGAGGGCGTGGGAGGGGACGGAGTCCCACGGTGATGTCACGGGGGACTCGGAGGGTCGTCAGGACGCGCCAACATTCCCGGTCGAATCACGACCCCAAGACGCGGGAACAAGAAATCTCGGATTCATTTGCATAATTAAGGTCGGGCTCGCGAAGCGGATGGTACGTCGAGGACCTCGGCTCGGCCCCTCCGATGGCCACGTCTCTTCCGGCCATCCGGGGGCTATACGTCGCGAAAGGCGCCCACCCGTCCTGCTCCTCAGCCGCCGTCTCATCCACAGCGGCCATCTTTAAATTGCTCTGGCGGACGAGATAATAACAACAGCGCGCGCCGTTGCGACACGGCGATTGTCCTCCCGTCCCCGCCACACTACCCCCACCAGGGGACCCTGTGGCACGTCGCTCTCCTGCGCCATCGCGGCCAGAAGGAAAAGGAAAAAAAGTTCTCCCGATGCTCTTTTCCGGCCGTTTCGCGGGTCGGGGAGGGGCCGACGGGCTTCGCTCATCGGGTATCGGTGTAGCGGCGGCGGCGGCGGTGGCGGTGGCGGCGGCGGTGGCGTCGGCGGTGGCGGCGGCGGCGGCGGCGGCGGTTGCAGTAGAGAGGGGCAAGGGGTACCGACGGTACGCCGGTTTCAGGACGATGATGCGGGGGCAGGGCAGAGGATGTGGTACTGGCCGTTGGAGGGGGTTGGGGGGGGGGCGAGAGAGAAGGGAGGTGTTCGCGACGCGTCTACGCCTGATTTGGCACTGTAGCGCGAGCGATGGCAAAGTGAGGTTATGTACCGATGTGCCCCGGACGTGGAAGAGTCGGCGCATGCAAGAGAAGGAGGAGACTCTGGTTCGCGAACAGGTGATAAATAGAGCGGGCGAGCGCGGGCACGCGTACACCGAGTAGGAGTGGAGTCGGAGCTGGAGATCGAGCGCCGCGGTCGGGATGACGATGAGCTTGCTCACCGTGCTCGGGGCCCTGGCGCTCCCGGTGCTGATAGTCCCGCTGGTACTGGTAGGACCCGGAGCCCGGGCACAGTCCGAGAGCAGTCAGCCCTGGTACGAGACCTTGCCGGCCGTAGCAATGGATTACAAGGTGCACATAGACGCCGGCAAAGAGGACTGCTACTTCCAGTACGCCAACCCAGGCGCGACGTTTTACGTCAACTTCCAGGTGGGTGCGGAGCCGCGGCCTCCATATGGCAGAGGGAACTGGGGCCCGTCGGAAGCTCGCCTTCGCCAAGCCATTGCGACACGTATACACGACCGCTTCGTGAAAGTCAGCCGTCAACCCGAGAACTCGTTTCGAGAGAGAGAGAGAGAGAGAGAGAGAAAGAGAAAAAGAGTGATTGAGTGAGAGTGAGCGAGAGAGAGCGAGCGACAGAGTGGTGCGTGCATTTGTGAGACAGAGAGAGAGCGAGAGAGAAAGTGAGATTGCGCTCGCGCACGAGACGGAGAGAAAGAGTGAGACAGAGAAAGTGAGACAGAGAAAGTGAGAGAGAGAGAGAGAGAGAGACAGACGGACGTACCACGCGAGGGCCGATGTTCTATATTCGGTGCTTCGTTGCTGTTACTTCGGCACTTTCGACTACGGAACTCCCGTGAGCCGTATTGACCCGACAAGTCATAACGAATTTCGACGTAAATCTTATTATCGTAGCTTGCCAAAGATAATTTTGCGAGATTTTTGGAGAAAAGATGTTGCTGGCATTGTCTATCCTGCTATTACTGTCGTTCTATTCAAATCCTAATATATTTATTTAACAGCTTTCACTTACCTGTCGCATGTACTCATTGAATTCATCATTCACAGTACATTGCTTCTCCTTTTACGCGCTATTAATTTAATATTGTAAAAGTAATTTATGGCACGGAATTTCTTTGTAAGCTTACTTTCCATCCTTGTATTTCTTAAAATTCTAATGATTTATCGCTACCGTCGGTTATTGCAATTATAATTATTATTTTTAGAAATCGCAACATCGCCGATGAGAAGATATCCTTTAATATTCCTCGGCTTTCACTTCGGAATTTTGCCTATTCGGATAAATTTGCCAATTAAGATCGATGAGCTTAAATGCTTCCCATATGCTGTTAGAGTCAAAATAAAAAACAAAAACAGAAAATACTTGCTCCATTATTTATACAAACTTCGTAATACTTTAACGATTTTTTCTCTCAATTTTTTCTCTCTTCTTTAAAAACATTTTATTTTATGATAAATAGACAGAGGCTCTAGAAATAAATGAACAGCGCAGATTTACTGATTCGAAATAATAAAGGTTTGATACACTGTGCGAGATTAAAAGTTCCGTAAGCTTACGCGCACTTCAATGTCCCCAACGTAACATTTATAGAATACTTGTTATCCTCTATTTCTAACTCCTATAATTAAATACGTAAATTACTTTAAGGTGCTCCGAGGTGGAGATGGAAAGGCCGGTTTTGCAGTTAGAAATCCGCATGGAGATATTGTATTTCCTTATCAATGGCGTGCCAATGCAGATTATCAGGATCAGTCAACACAAGGGGGCTACTATTGTGTCTGTGTGGATAATCAATTTTCGAAGTTTGCTAGCAAACTCGTCAATATTTACATTACTGTTATTAGGTAATTATCCACCCCTTCGATTATCGTGGGGGGTGGGGAGGGGAGGGGGGGGGGGGAGAGCGTTAATAGGGGAAAACAAAACAAAACGAAAATGAATAAAATGCATCGTTCAAAAATTTTTAGGTACGATCAATGGGAGAAATACGCTCAAGAATTGGAAGATTTAAATCTTTCCGTTATAAACGTTACGGTAAGGATTGTAGTGATGAATGCATTTAAGTAAAAAATTACGACTAATTAATTTTGTTATATTGCTTTTAGAACACTATGGTGAGCGTTGAAAAGAATATTTACGAAGTCCTGCAAATCCAACATTTTAGTAGGAGTCGAGAGGATAGGGATTACAATTTACTTCTTGACAATAAGTCTTACGTTCAGAATTGGTCGATTTTACAAATAATTGTCATCGTAGCAACAACAGTCTTGCAAGTTTACTTTGTACGTAGATTATTCGAAGTCCGAGGCGGATATTCCAGATCGAGGATATAAAGGACTTGCCCTACGCATATGACTGATCTTTCATCGATACATGTGATACGTAAGAAGTGAATTGCACCCGAAGATTACGGAGGATTACAAAGACAATTACGGAAAGATTGAGAACCAAAGTGATCTAACTTTTGTTGTACTCCTCTCTTTCTCTCCTCTCTCTCACTCACTCTCTCTCTCTCTCTCCTCTCTCTCACTCACTCTCTCCCTCTCTCTTTCTCTCTCTCTCTCTCTCTCTCTCTCTCCCCTCTCTCACTCACTCCCCCCCCCTCTCTCTCTCGTCATACAATCATGCAAAATATATTTATATTTTTATTTTAACATTTATACAAAATCACTCACGTATATGCATTTATTAAGAAATTCGAATCCAATTGTACAGTATTTTTTTATTAAAATGGATATGTTCCATTTTTTTTTAATCTCAACTGATTCTCATATCTAGATTTTTATAAAGTTTAATGTAAGATTAATTGTTCACAAGTAAATAAATATAATTATATTTATAAAAAAAAAAAAAAAAATAAACAAACAAAGAAACGAGCAAACGCAAAAAAAAATGAAAAAAGTTATTACGTATATATTGAACAATTTACATAAGTAATATGTATTTATAATATAATACAACAAATAAATTTACATGCACTAGTATCAGATGTGACATTTTTGTATGTGGATATAAATTATTATTTACAAAAGATTTAAAGTACACCGACATCGCACGTATCGAACGTATAATCGTAGAGCATAATTTAACGTTCGTCCTGGCACCAATCGAGGCACGCGCGCGCACATATTTATAAAATAAATAATGTGGTCTTGTGATGGAAGCACTGGGCACCGAGGGCATCTCGTTTAAAGTATGGAAAGCGACTGCTTGGCACGTCGTTGTAAAACACTGCCGCTCAGCGCTAAAAATCTATGCCTCTGTCGAAGATTTCTCGCTCTCACGTGTTCGGACGCGACCTCTTTGGTGAAATTCCCAGGGAACCAGCCCTGCTCTCCGTCCAACAATTTCTCACCAAATAGCCATCCGTCGTTCATCTTACGAAGAACATTTATGACGTCACCTGCAAGTATCGAAAGCACTCGTGTAAACGGCCGTTAATGTCGTTTGGCGCCCCGAGGCACGAGCTGGACACTCGCCCGTAGTTTTTTCTAACCCAAAATTTGCATGAGAGGACCTTTGCGTTATACAGCGGGGAATGGAATTGCAGTGCATTGCTTTGTAATTGCTGCTGGCGTCCGCGTGTAAAAGATCGAGCGAGATGAGCACGGAAGGAGAGTCGAGTGAAGTCACGATCGAGAACAACGATCGATAAACGGGAATTTTTTTCAGCTAATTATCGCCCATCCATAATCCAAAGGATCGTACGAACCTGGCTGCAGCGCCAGCTCGTCCGGTTGTCTCGGCACGTACGAGTAGAGCGCCATCACCTGGGGACAGTCCCAGGACTCATATAGCGTCTCCCCGACGCAGCTCGGTTTCGGCGGCGAGACCGCGTCTAGCCATCGCTCCCTCTCCGTGTCACTCTCGCACGTCAGAACGTACTCCACTTGTCGTCCTGCCTGATTCTCCAGGAGTGTGAGTACCATCGCGTGGCGACCGGCGAGAGGCGCCGCGTCTTCCGGGGCCGACTCCAGGGCGACGAGGCTCCGCTTGCAGGTCTCTATCACGCTGTACGTTTCGTCGTTCGAGCTGCAACAGTGGCGGTTGGGGCGAGAGGGGGGGGGCACTTATTTCACATAGAGAAGCAATAGCGGGAAGGGACTTGGACAGCGGCTTTTTTTACAAAAAACAGTCTAATGCTCGTCTGGGACTTTATGGGTGAGAAGTTTGGCGGAGGATTTGGGGGGAGGGGGGGGGAGTCAGAGGCGCCGAGGTGACAATTGGACAAACGATCCGGCGATTCTCCGACTTTCCCCCCTTGTAACATCGAAATCTTATAAGATTGGGTGGGAAATACGAATACTCTTATGCCAAAATTTGTCTTATCGATGGAATCGTTCGATAGACTCGCACGCAGCGTTTATTTCAATAACTTGTTAAACAATTACACGAGTTAACAACTGTAAATCAAAATCTCGATGGTCTGGCAAAATTGCGTAATGTTACATATTACGCGGGCGATTCTTATGCGAGATGGTTAAAATCTTTTTTAAATAATCTTGTTGATTTTTTTATCTATTTAATATCAATATTTTGCTCTTTCGTTCGCATAGGTTAGTAATAAAAATTATATTTTACGATATTTTATTTCATTTAATTATTATACTTTCATACTTATAAGGAATTACAAATTTCATTTTCCCAACTATAACATAATGTAAACATATAGTCAGACATTATACTATATATATATATGTGTGTGTGTGTGTGTGTGCGTGCGTGCGTGCGTGCGTGCGTGCGTGTGTGATGTGTGTGTGGTTATTAAAATATTAAAATGGCAATCTATTATACAGTATTTGTTTATCTACAAGGCATAATATCAGGATTGTGTTTACGTTAAAGGTTGGATGTATATTGGGGCCAGAAAAAAAGGACTAAAAATTCTGATGTAAATTGACGAGAATTTAATAAGCAGAGAAATATAGACAGGAATTAATTTAGCCAGACTATATTTTACGTATAATAAATTTATTTAAAGGATAAATTAAATATATAAAATCGTATGTTGTATCGGTCGTAATAATTTAGCCGTAAATAGCTTTTTGCACGCGTGTAATTTCTTTTACTAATAAACTTGGTTTTCACATTAAAGAGATTTTTATCTTTTTGTTTTGTTTTATTTTATTTTCCATATGTGAATTACAGCGAGCAAGTGTTAAAGTTTCTCAGAAACAAAAAAAGAAACAAAAAAACCGTTCGCAGCTCCTTGGATATTAAAGAGAGAAAGAGGCACCACTCGGTCCTCATACACGGCAAATTATAAACGGAATTCTGAAAGATTAGATTTCTCGTACACACACACACACACACACACACACACACACACATATATTATTCTCCCTTGTTTCCCTGTAGTTGCAAATTATTCTTCCGTCCGTTAATGCGAAATAAAGGAGCGCCTGTAAAAAAACGAGTTTATCGCGAAAGATCGATAAAGCCGACGATCTAAGCAACGAGATAACGAACCGAAGGCGTTAAATGTGGGAAGAGCGATAAAAGTTATTACTCACTTGGACTTCAATTTCGTGACTAGAAGGTAATCCGTTAGGAGCATCAACAGTAGCGGTGTCTTGTGGAATTTCTTGCCAAAGGTCAACTTATACTCGCTGTCGGACTTGGTGGACAGCTGGACGACGGTACCGCTGCGAATGAGCTCACGATCGTGGAGGCTGATCGGCGGCACTTTCGACGAATATTCCAGCTTTCTGTTTAAAGTATCGAAGTACCGGAGTTGAGTATCGAAGAGTTGGGAGGCGCGAGGTCAAGCTTACCTGGCCAAGGCGTCCATCTCGTTGCGGCGCTCGGCGAGTCTCGCGCCCTCGTTGCACTTGCCGACGACGTGGCTAAGGGCGGCCAGAACTCGCTCCCAGCTGAGTCTCTCGCTATGCTCGACGGCGAGCCTCGATAGGATGGCGTCCGCGAGGAGAGGCAGCCTACCACCGAGAACAGACAAAGGTCTCGTTAAACGATGCGCCCAGCCAGCCCCGCCCAGGAGCGCGTCACTAGGGCTCTTACCGAGTGATGCGTTGCATCGGTAGCATGAGGAACGAGTGCAGGGAGAGACTCTGGCAGGTGGGGTGCGACTCGATGCGCGAGACCGTCTCGATGAATTTGTAGCCCTTCTTCGACCTGCAACATTCGATAACGACTCACTTGAATAATGGAGGGATGGTCGGGGAGACACACCTCCCCCACTTCACAAATTTTCAAATGAACGGTAATGTCCTTTATTACGATGCGAAGCCGCTGTAGTTCGACGTTGACGTAGAGACTCGCGTTTCTCGCTTCCTTTATTCCTTTCGTTTTCTTCTCGTCCCTTGTTCAAACACGTACATTTCATTTGATTGCAAAAAGTGCTCATTAATGGCCATAACGCAATTGTTTTCTATAAGCTTTACTAGGATATTTATAAAAATTTGCACCTTTAAGACCGAAATATAAACGAGAAGCTGCTACGAATGCCCAACCTAATTGTAATTCCTCGTCATTAAAGATGGAAATTCTTGTCGAAAGAGAATTTCTGCGAGACATTCCAAGAAATAATATCTTTCGAGCATCTGCCTTAGAGAATTAAAAATTACCTTTAAAAATGTACGTAAGAGCGAGTTTATTTTGAAAATAACGTGCGTAATAAGAAAAATACGAATTCTCAAAGGAGCGATGATTTATTCCCCATAAATAAGGTACTGCGCTTCGTTTGCATCTCCTTCCCTCCTCGCTCCGCCATCGCCGCCATCGCCACCGTCGCCCCCCCCCCAGCCCGCTCCTTACAAATGGAAAATTTCAGTCCTAGAGGAAGAGGAGGTATCGTCTTCGAATTGCACGCACCTGAGCTCCTTGAGAGTCGTGTCGATGCTAACTTGATTCGAGCAATAATCGACGTAAACGCCGGAGCAGCGCTCGCTATGTCGAAGCAGCAGCTCCGGCAATCTGGCGAGCATCGGGTCCTCCCTCCAGATCGACTCGAGCTCAGCGAGAAACCTTTCCGAGGCCACGAGGACGTCTGGCACCGAGCCGAAGAGCCGCTCCCGCTCGGCGGACGTCAGGACCTCTTGGGCCAGCTCGTAGTTACTCGCGAACTCGTTCTCCAGGACGCGCAGAGAGTTCAGATAGGAGGCCTCGGACGTCAGGATCTCGAACTTGGCCTCCTGTATCTTGCGCTCCTCGGATGATAGGCTCTCTAGCACATGCGATAGAAATAATTCGTGATTATTTGCGAGCATATTACGTTTTAAGGAGTGGGACTCTTTATGCGTGTCTTGGCTAGGTTGATTGACTCGCGTGAACGAGTTCTTCAAGATTTGCGATCTTTAAGAAATTGGAGGATGGCGATCCTGTTGGGGTTGTCACGATACAGTCACTGTCCTTTAATTTTACAGGGCTTCCGACTGTACGTAAAATTGGGGCTCCGAGTATCGCGAATTTGTAATATTTCGTTGAGATAAGTAGTATTATCTCGACTTGGTGGCGATCGATCGTCGCGCAGAGTATGTATTGAGCTTAGAGGGGTAAATAGAAAGATGGAATAAATTTGTTTAATGTAACCAAAAGAAAAAAAAAAAAGATAGTGTGGATTGCGTTACTACGTCAATGCTTGATCCATTCGCTTGAATAGGTAAACTCTTAAGTAAGATTATATTTATTACACGCGGATAAAGTTTGTTATCACAACTTAATTCAATTGATAATTCATCTTCAATCAATACTTATTGAAGCGAATTATCAAAGCGTTTGATTGTAGTAGTAATACAGAAGGATAGTCGCGGGGTATTGCAAGCGATGTAGAAAAAATTATTGTTGAGAAAGCGAGAGGTGTCGATGATAGGCGCGAAGGAGAGAAGCATTAACCTTGCGAATAGCGAGCTAAAAACGAGAATGGAAACGTGGAAACTGAGCAGAGCCTTTCTCGTTCCAGTAATTTCAGCGCAGAGATAGAGCTGATAAATAACAAGAATGGCTCAACAATACTTTCACGCCGACGAAGTGTAAAGGACGAAAAAACTTACGCAATAGACCGCTGTTTATGACCTGTGGCGTCTGACACCATAGAGTGCGGTGCCCGGGCTTGGCCAGATCCGTCGTTGCCGTCGAAGGCGTGAGCTCCTCGACCTGTGTGTCAAAATATTGCCATAATTATTATCCGAGATGGCTCGTCTTTTCGGGTCCCTTTAAAAGTGTCGGTCGCACTGTTGCACCAAGCCCATGTCATTTGGCTACTTTACGTCCTGCCATTACTTCGTAGGACAAAACTTGGATTAACGGGGCTGGAATTTGTGTCGCTAGAGAAACGCGGTTTGATGCGAGAAAACTTGAATTTTATAGTGACACTTTGCATTGCGTAAGCTATTGGGCGATAAAGGTGTAATGGCGATAAATTTATAAAAAAAAAATTAAAAAAAAAAATAAAAAAAAATAGAAATAAATTCTAATATTGTGTAAGCCTTTGTAAACGTAACGCACGCACACACACACACACACACACACACACACACACTCTCTCTCTCTCTCTCTCTCTCTCTCTCTCTCTTTGTTAAAACAACAGTGTCTAAAGTATCTACTATTTCTGCATCGAGATGAAATAGCCAATGATTGAAAATCATTGGGGAAAAAAGTATGGCAAATGCGATATAAATTCCCGTGCAAAGTCACGTGATACGTAAAACTTAGTTTTAATTTTATATATTGGGCCCGTTAGCCTTGGATTCGCGTCACGTAATCAAAGTTACCTAAACTTTAAATGTCAAACAAATATAGATGATACGGCGACGTGCTAATAGATATTTAATGGAAAAGTGAGTTTTGCCAAATTCCCATTCGACTTATCCTTTAGCATTTTAGCTATCATTCGATTCTTACTTTGCAGCTCATTTCCATCTATTTCTGCGCGCGGTACCGAGCACTCTCCCCCCCCCCTACTCAACCCAAATTTCTTTAGTCTTTTCATTTTTAATTATCTACCGTATTTGGTTGGAGTATTCAAAAACAAGAAAAGAAAAAAAGTATTTCTACAAAATCGAAAAAAAATCGATGTTAAAATATTTTTTTATCTCTCTTTAATTCAAATTTTATTCGTCATCTCTGTATACAAACAACGAGTAGCTTGTCGTAGAAATGCAATTATCACAGGTCGATATGGGATATGCCATTAGCGTTGACGAAAAAGTTGTATTTTTCCTTGAGCAAAAATTACGTCCTACGATCTCCATCATAGTTATATCAATAAACAATCAAAGATTAAGACGACCTTACTTACACCTCTCTTGCTTGCTCTCGATACGCACATTAATACCTCCTCGTCAATTAAAACATATTACACAAACACGTTACATAATTATGTCGTAAGAGCAATATCACTACATCTCCCATTATTCATACTCGTAACAATATACATATGTTGACAATTCGGTGATGCGAAGAGCCGCGAAATATCCAATGCCTTGTTATTATTTAATAGTCTCAACTCGTTGACACTGTTGATTTTTCTCTGTTGATTGTATTTAACAAACTCCGCGCATTAAAAAAAAAACAAAAAAACAAACAAACAAAAAAAAAAAACAATAAAACCAAGCGATCCGAGTTATAAATTCTACGCTTCGTAGTCAATGCGCATCCGATATATATTTCAACATTAGTCGTCGTAAAGAAAATTTTATCAGAAATACTCTAACGCGTACATCCGCTGTTAATATGCGTTTAATATAGGCGTCCTTATTTTTATTGGCTTATACATAACAACGGGGATCATTTATCACAAGCTACGAACTTATGAGCGTTCCATATATTTGTGATATGTGCGCACGACGAAGATAATGGCATCGTAAGAGCCCAGCGTCTATCGGGATATTTGAACAATCGTGCGCCTACGGTGATGGAGAAATGGAAAAATGTGCGCTTGTAAGCGCAAATTGTTAAGCCAACACTACGACCATCGTCACAGTCCGCTAACGTGTCAACCGTCGATTCTTTTAATTTACTCGGTACGACGCAAAATGTTTTCTCTCCCTCTCTCTCTCTCTCTATATATATATATATATATATATATATATATGTATATATACACACGCGCGCACACGCACATACTTGTATTAATTGAGAAAATACCGGGCAATAAAAGATTACCGGAATTATCAACTTGCCCGTGGCTCGGCGTGGTTGTCGCACCTGCAACTGATTTATGTCTCGAGTGCCACGATAGACCGTGGTATGCTTGTAAATATGTTAAATGAATGTCAAACAAGAATAATCGTCGACGGGACAAGGTTGTGCACGCGCGTACAACGCGTACGACTCTCTCCGTTTCTCCGACCCGGGAATCGCGATATCCGTGCGACAGCGCCAAATCTCTTTATCGATGGGCGTTAATAAATGGCAAATTACCTCCTCGTATCCATCGGAATCGGACTCGAAGGCAACCCTCGTGGCCGCCGCCGCGTAGAACTGATAGAGCGGCTCCTCGGCCAGGACGCTATAGTGATCTGAAACGCAAGGTGGAGTTGGGCCGTTAGTTACCTGACTGGATGGTAATGGAATCTTGGAGGGGCTAATTGTGTGAAAAGCGGGAAAAGCCAGGGATATTTAATTAGCGCTGGGAAACTCGCGTCTTGATGAAAATGGTCGTAAAAATCCTCGCTGCGACGAGTCTCTCGTCGATTTCACGGTGTTCATGGTGCAGCAGAAGCAGCAGCGCGAGTGCGGATACATTTTGTCGAATTGCCAGGAGCTTTATTAATAATTGAACGGGTATGCGGCAGTGGAAGGCTCCTTCTTTTGTTCTTGGCTCGTCGAATGTTATTCCCATGATTATTTGAAAGCCGGATGAATCGTCGCGCGCCCCATTCAATACCCGACAGCTTGAAATGGATAATGGAATGACGCGGAAGTTTTGCATTTCAAGCTCAATTATTTATATTGATAATCCTTTCAAATTACCGTGGCTTTCCTTATTAATTGCTTTCATTGTGTATTTATTATAATTCGCTGGCTCCCCTCAGTTGCCACTGTGGCTTCTCCAATACCGATCCCATTGCATTATACGCATGACAATTTAAATGTTATAAGACCCAGTTTAACGAGCATAATAGCATTAATTACCAACCAAAGAAATAAGAATAATTAGCAACGAATAATTATAGCCTCTCAGTCACGATATTTAGTTATTAATTGTGTGTCGTTGGTTCGAATGTTGTTAAACGTCGACGACATTAATAATGCCCCACCTGGAGTCTATAAACGTCCAGTGTCAATTGTAATTATCGCATTGTAATTATTATAACAATGTCGTAAAATACTATTATTTGCAAATCCATCATCATCATCATCAAAGTACACTTTACGCGAATTAGTATGATTTTTCAAACAAACAGGGAACATTGAAGCTAGTCAATGGCAACCGATATCGCCAATATCATGTCCGTCGTTAATTTTTACACTCATATGGTCGAGCCATCGTTTTTTTTTAAAGCAATTCCCTAATTATTACACCGTGTAATCGCCACATTGCATAAGATAAGAAATTATTATGTTTGCGCCAGAGACGAAGGCAGTTCTTCGGTTAAAGCATGGCAATAAAAAGGTTTTCTCAACATTGTGAAAAAAGGAAGTAGCAAGCCGAGCTCGACGCTCAAAGCGCAGCGTCGAAAACGACCATCTATGATACCGTCACGCTTGCACACTGCTTGCGACTAGTTCAGTAAACGAGAGAGAAAGACGTACCGACAGGCACCTCTTGGGACTTGGAGCTCCGTTGGTTGCGATAGAGTCCAGCCTCGCGATACCAGTTGCCGTTGGTGTAGACGGGCTCTTGCCCGAGCTTGTCGTCCCTTCTTTCATCGATGCTGGCTGGGCTCGCGGCCTTATCCAGGTAAAAGGTCGAAAGCCCCGACGCTTGGTTCTTACGGAAGTGCTTCTTGAAGCTAAAGTACTTTTTGGCGTCACCGGCGATTGTACTCTCGGCCGGGGCCTCGCACTCACCGACGGCTCGTCGACGCATGCGTCCGAGACTACCCTTGGTGATGCTCCAGGTACGCCGAAGCATCTTCATGCGTCGTCCAAGGCTGTACCCGAGACTGGCTTCCCGTGGGGGTGGAGGAACCGCGCGCTCCGGCGCTTCCTGGGGACAAGCCGAGGGTGCCTCCGAGCCTGAATCACTGCTAAAGTCGTCGGGCTCGTAGGTCTCCAAGGTCTCGTAGTTGCTGTCGTCCGAAGAATCTGTGCGAAATGATTGGATCGTTATTATTATTATTATTATTATTATTATTATTATTATTATTATTATTATTATTATAGCTGTTGGCTTTGAGCAATTGATAGTGGTGGTAAACGAGTGAGAAACGTGGCATCGTGGGATGCGGGTCTTTTTTAAAAATTTAAACTATCGAGACAGATCGCGAGTTTGAAGATACCAATGCTCAAACTACATAATTCGTTGCTTTCACTTGCGGGCGAAGAGAGATTTCTTCACGCCAGAGCAAATCGCCTATAATGAATTTTGTCATCGCAGCTTTAAATTAGTTTCATTTAAAGTAAGTCGCGGCTCGTTGAACGCCACAGGCCCCTTCGCTTTAATAAATTGTATGCCCACCGCTGTTTCCCAACGATTCAACAATTATGGCTAAAATAGGCTGTCGCACGTTACTTCCCGGAGGCTCTTTCTACCAAACAATCGTCGATGTTGCCGATAAGCACTCGCGATTCCCCTCACGAATCCCCACGAAATAAACGTATCACAGGATAATTGCGACATCAAGCCAATAATGCTGTAAGCTCCTGCAAGATCCTGTAAGCTCCGAATGTACTTTCTCAATATTACTATTCGAAAGTATCGATACAACTCGGCATTGGATGGCGAAAGCGTCATAGTCGACAAACTTTCGGCACATCGTTATCATCGTAATCGTTGTGACGAGGATGGACGTGGACAGGGCCTACGAGAGGACAGCGAAGAACCATGAAGCGAGGTCGCTCGCGGGGCTCGACGGCATTGACAGAACCAACGACATTCGACATCCGCTTTCACGCACCGGCTCAAAGGCACGTCGGCCCGGAAGCGACAACGCGAGACAGAGCCGCGGGGATCGGAATCGCCAGCTCGACGGAAAATGGTCGAAGGTGAGTGCACGCTTCCGTTCGGCTCCCTTTCCGTTCCCCATCCCGTACGCTCTTTCCCGGATAATGTCCGCTCTCTCTCTCTCTCTCTCTCTCTCTGTCTCTCTCTCTCTCCTTCTCTTCATAAGGGCATTCTCGGTCGGACGAGCAGTCGGCTTTATCAAGGGGCCGACGATATCGCGAGGCGTGATTTTCCGGGACCGCGCGACCCGGTAGTTGCGAAGCCCACGCACGTAGCGCCGACCGACGCGTGCCCCAGGATAATGACGCCCGGGCACGGACTTTGAATTTCAGAGTGGCTTTTCTTTTTTACGCCCCTCTGCCGTTGGCGCCCACCCATCCCATCCCATCCCATCTCGGCCCATGCAGTCGGGATATCGATTGGCCAATAAACCTATTGTAAACATGATGTAAGATATTCGTGAGCACCGGTATGCTTGACGTTACAAGCCCCCACTGACCCTCTCTGTTCCACCGTTCTGCTGTCCGGCCTCACCGTCCTCCTTTCCCACCACCGCCAATTCGATATAATGACCACAAGGTACACGATTTGTAAGCCGGTGTGGCTGGGAGTTACGGTGGGGATAGCATGGGAGCCGGCGGACTTTCCAAATTACCGATCACCTTTATTTCGACGCTCTCGACCCTGACGCAACAATTGTCGTTCATACAATTTGTCATTGAAAGTCGATCGAAAAGTTATTTAATCGGGCAATTTAGCACTATGAAAATAAAAATCTGCATATACATTTAAATATCCGTTGCAATACGTTAAAATCCGTTAAATTCCCCATGTAGACGATTTCATAAGTCATAGGCAATAGCGCCAACAATTGAAAAAAATGATAATAATCATCGATCGATTGATGCACAACACCTTCGAGCGCCACGTTCAATGAGGAAAACAAAGAAAGACCGAGAAAACATTCCAACTATCAGGATTCGAGTATCCAACATCGACTTTAAGAATGAATTGGTAAAAATGAGGGACTCTGCGTGCTGAAGCAATTATAAAAAATATATCAACGAAAACTTTACTGATTAAATGAAAAATTGAATTTTAAAAAATACTTGATACAGTGCGTCACAAAGATTTTTAATTTTACAAATAATTCCTCCGCCCTTCCTCACTGTAAAGACTTATAAATATTATTATTATTATTTAGCGTCGATGTGTCGTTTTCACATTCAAGGCATTATTTCGGCCTTTTCGAAATGGACATTTTTTTTTCTTTTCTTGCACTTTTATAAATTACGCAATTTATTCATAACAAAGGAAAACAGATTGCCATTCACAATACATTCACAAAGTATTTCAAGAATATCTTTATTACGCCGTATCGCAGAAATACATTTGGATGTAAAAGAAAGCGGGAGACCTCTTCCAATAATACGTTTTCACAACCAGCATAATAAAGAGGCAAGAGAAAACCAAACGATAAAATACTAGTTTTTCATTTCCTTGATGATTAATTTGAATTCCGTCACCGATATTCCGTCTCGCTGCTGCTGCTGCTGCTGCTGCTGCTGCTGCTACTGCTACTGCTATTACTACTACTACTACTAATAATAATAATAATAATAATAATAATAATAATAATAATAATGCTACTACTACTACCACCACTACTATTAATGTCAATACAACTAGGACCGCACACGATGTCAATGAGAATAATTTAAAGCACCCAATTAGGCAAGTCAATAGGGAAATTGCGATGACTCGTTAAATGTACTACAGACCTAATCATCTAACTGACCATTTCACTTAATTCCAATGGTCATGCTTTTAAACAATTTTCCTCGTGGCCCAGCCTACGGCCTAGTAATTTTCCATACTCCCATCAACAATAACAAACGCGATAAATCCTACTTACGTAATCGGGTAAGCTCTAACGTATGTTTCCACGTTAGGAATGCGGAGTAATGACCATTGACCTTTACTTGTCAAAACAATAGAACGTGAACTAACATGGAAATACTTAAAGTTCGACGATGGATCGCGCGGTAAAGGCCGCCATGATCTGGGAGTGGACGCATCGCCCTATTCAAGGATGTTTCGCGCAAAGTAAATGGGCATAAAATTTAGTGCTCTATTTGCCACTTGTGCATCCTCGGTCGCACCTTCGGCAACGTAGACCGAGGCCTCCTGGAGCTCGACCGCCTCCTCCGCTTCCACCTCCTCCAGCTCATCATGCTCCTCGGCGAGCACGAGTCTCAGCTGCACAAGTCCCTTGACCTCGTGTCTGGGCTGCTCCGGCTGGGGCACCTCCTCGCTCCAGCCCAGCAGTAGGATCGAGCCCTGGCCGAGGCTCAGGGTCACTGTATCGAGGCAAAGGAAAGGTGAGGCCCAAGGTCGCGGCCACGCTCGCCTCGATCTTACCAAATCGGGCGGGCTCCCAAACCAGTCGGACTCGCATCCGAGAGAGCGAGAGCAAGAGTGAGAGCAAGAGCGAGAGTGTGAAATAGAGAGTGAGAGAGAGAGAGAGAGAGAAATAGAGAGAGAGAGAGAGAGAAATAGAGAGTGAGTGAGAGAGAGAGAGAGAGAGAGGGAGAGGGGGAGAGGGGGAGAGAGAGCGAGAGCGAGAGAGAGAGAGAGAGAGAGGGGTAGGGGCTGAATAGGATAAAGAGAGTGATGGCGAGATATTGTAAGTGGGAAGAGAGGAAGAGAGAAAGAGGGGGAAGATGACCATCAGATCGTCCGCGTATCGAGCACCACGTAAACCCTGGCCAAGAGCGCGGCTCCTGGCCCACTGTTACACACTCTCCTTTCCGCACTTTCTCTCTCCCTCTCTCTCTTATTCGCGACTTTCTCACTCTCCAACCGTCTCTCTGGGTCGCGGGTACCGTGAGGACGCGTACCTTGGGTATTGGGTCGGCGCGAGGGCGTCTTCAGGCTCTGCCTCATCGCGGTCTCATGGTCGCGAGTCGCCGCGGACTTGCCGAGATTCTCGGGTGCGCGCGCCGCCGCGTCTCGGCCGTGACTGACTGGTGCTTTCACCAAGCGTCGGCCTGTGGTTCACCATAAGCGGGGCCCCACGAGCTGTCGGGGCCGCCGTCCACGGCGGGAGATGATACGGCGGTAGAGGAGGAATGGGCCGTATCGGTTAGTGGAATGGGATAGCGAAGGGAGGAGAGAGAAGAAAAGTGGAAAGGCCCAGATCGGGAAGGAATGGTGAACGACGAAGGGGGCAGACTGTGGATCCGGTGTGGGGAGGGGGGGGGGGGGAAAAGCGAACACAGGGGGGAGCCACGAGCCGAGTGCGTCTCGGACGGCGAGTCGAAGAGCCCGACAGAGCGGGTCGCGCACATGCGCCCAGGAGTCCAGGATACATAGGAGCGTCCCAATGCCGCGCGCGAGCAGCTGGCAAATATCGCAGTCTTTTGTCTCTCCGAAGTGCTTTGAAGTGCAATGGAGCTACGGGCTGAAGTTCGATCACTTTAAGAGACGCAGGAATCGTTTACGGACGACTCGGTTAAAAATGAATAAGACTTGCATGAATTTAATTATCGAAGACCTAAGTCTTGGACAATGTTTTGCAGTATTAGTTGTCGATCTAGATTTTCGATCGAGAATCGCACCTTCCCTTTCGTCAACCAAGCGCCCGGGAGAGGGGGGGGGGGGGGAGGCTATGGCGGAGGCAATAGGCAATGGAAACCACCGTCAAATGCAAGGCAAATTCACCTGTTGAGAATTTTCCCTCATTAACAGAGGCGAGTGGTTATTCGTCTTAATTTCAAGACGATGAACGCATGGCTATTTGCTATTCTTCATCTCCCCCCCCCCTCTCCAATCCAGCGCCAAAACTCGTTAATGGGAATGTGGAGGATCGGCGCTGAGCATCCGACTAACTTTCTCTGGTCTCTCAGCCTATATTTTATTCTCTGCGCGGTGGTTGCCGTTCGTCAACGGGGAGGAGATCCACGTCCAGCGACATCGCGTGACCTTGGCCGCTGTGCGATGGGCGTCGTAAGTGGAAATTGGCGAATGTGTTATTGTTGGCTGGTACGGGCAGACCGATTGATCGGTCCTTTTTTTTATTATGACGCATTATATTGTTGCCAATGAATAAAAGATCATGTTTCCGCAGTGCAAGTTTTTTTACGCGACGTATAGTCGACGATGAAAAAAGTTCAATGTATTTGCACTGCTGCATTAGTAGGAGCGATGTTTAACATAATGATTGGCTATCAGTCAAAGACGAGAATTAACCAAGTAAAATATTGTATAAATATGCTAATCGAGTTAAGAAAGTCGTGCATTTGATATGATCGAACGTGATGAATGCAAAGTTAATATAACGAGTCTTTAATTCGCTATCGAGACGATAATTCATCTTATTTTAAAAAATTTGTTTTTATATTATAGTTTAGGTAAATCTAAGACACCGAATAAATTGAGCTCGTTTTTTATGACTCTGCACAGCTCGTAGCATATCAGTTTTCCTTCTTATTTTTTTTTTTTAACACGTCGGTTATTCAAACTTAAGCGAGTCAATGCTTTTTATTCGGACGTAACCTTATATTCGATGCGTAATAAATCGAAATAATAAAATTATTAGCTCCCTCGCTATATGTGCTAACCTGAAACTGGTTCCAAAGCCTAAGTAAATCAAACGAGATAATAAAAAGCAATATTTTCTTTAATTTATATTCTATCATCTATCGATTGTAAAGAATAATGTATAAGATTTATAAAATATAGAATATAAATTAATTTGGTCAGCGTAATCCTTTCGTTGGCAATAAGCATAGAGGAGAGCGACAATTTGCAGATAAAATGCTCGTATGATTATTTAGAGAGAGAGAGAGAGAGAGAGAGAGAGAAATTGATTTGATTTAATGTAATTTTACCGATGCTTATAAATAAATGGTGAAATGAAACAAGAAGCCAGAATAACCGGTAGCGCCGTAAAGCAGATGGTCTGAAAAGAAAGTTGAAATAACTAAGATCGGGTAATTCGCGAAACTGACATTTTATACTAACGATGGTAATTAACATGAAAATTAATATTTCAATTCAAATGACAAATACAATGCCGTTCACCTGAAAATACAATGTATCACAGTCACCTGGCATCCCGAGGCTAAAGATGAAATAATGAATATAAAATATAAATAAGAATTTTCATTTCACACGCAGAATTCGTTCGCAAATTCGTGTGAAATTTCAATCGCTGCTTATATCACAGATGCCCATATACGCAACATAGCTGCTAATTGCGAAAATGAAAGAAAAAAGTCGGACAATGTATAGCGCGAATAGACAAATAATTTAAATAAAGGATAGTAAGTGCGCGCATCCGTTGCTCGTCGATATCTCGGAGATTAAATCGTCCGGTACGGCGGTAATTTTCCCTTCGCCCCTTAAACCGCGCTCATGTAAATTTTCATTTGAGACGCGCACAATGCCACGACCTCCCATTGTCTTCCACATATGAATTTCCACGAAGAGAGAGAGAGAGAGAGAGAGAGAGAGAGAGAGAGAGAGTGACAGAGACGGAGAAGGAGCGCAAGAAATTTCTCTTTAATGGCTCATTATTGCGAGTGCGTCAAGGACGCAAAAGGAATGTAATGGCGGTGCGATGCTCGAGACAAGGGAATCAATATTCATTGACCAGAACATAAAAAGTACCAATTACTCAGGGAAAACCAGAAGGACACGGAAATCCCTTGTATTTTTTTTTTACATTATACAAGGTCGTGCGATTCATCGTCCAATGAATTTCCCGTAACGAGTGATTAAACGTCTGACCACAAAGTACGATGATATGCTTTTGAAAATCCTTGCACTAAAGTTCTAATTTCTACGTAATTATTAAAATCTCTACCGTTAACATTTTTATTTCCCATCTAAACACATTATTAATGTATTTATAAGAAATATTTTAATGACAAATCAAGTTGCTATACTTTAGTCAGAATTTAAAAATTTATCGACGAAATTTGAATGAAGTTTAATGTTTAATGATGTTGTTTTAATTTAATATAATGATGCGCGTGTGAGTGAGTGCGTGCGCGCGCGAGCGTGAGTGTGTTTATATGTGTGTGTTGGCATGCCCGATATAATAAAAATAGTAATATTTATTTTCCTTTTTTCTTCAATGTTTTAATATAGTTTTCAAAATTAATCTATAACACAGATTCCTTGATTTTATCATTTATATTTATTAGTCGAATGTAAAAATGCAATAATACGATATTGGCTAATTACATCTTTTGTTCATGACAAATATGATAATAATTTATCATATATTGTATTCTCTATGCCATTGTACTTATGCAATTAATATGTATACGAAGATGCAGTTTTTATTAATTAAAAAAAAAAACAAAAAACAAAAAAAACAACAAACAAACAAAAAAACAAAAACAAAATCAATAAAAGAGATGGATTTAAAATTTTAATTTGTCAGTATGTTAATAATATTATTTATAAACACAAGCGCACAAACTCACGTTTATATAGGGGCGTGTGCGCAAGGAGACAAAATGAAATCGCATTGATCGATCATTGATTTTTATTAATTCCTTGCCCATAAAATCACTCGATTAATAACCTATTCGATTATTCATAATTTTCCAACCTCGTGACAATCGACAGAGTTTAATCGGAATTCAATGTTAAATACAACCGAAATAATTATTAGCGAGGTCGAAGTAACGCGTGGAAATGTTATAATGAATTGCTCGAAGTCGTAAAGCTTGAAAATACTATTACGTCGGTTGTAAAAAATTACTCATAAATGATTTCCGTGCATAGCAATAGCACATGAAAACTAAAAACGCTCCTGCATTCTTTCCATTCCAAGCTCAGGGAGTGAAATATGCTTTATAAGAACATAATTTGGAAGCGTTGAGTGCCGTATCTTTCGATAGTTAACTGACTCATAAATTAGGACGGACGAATTCAATCGGCGCATATTGATTACGGAAGCCGTTAAGAGTCGAATGTCTTTGCGTCATTGCTTTCAGCATTTGTTGCAGAGCATTACAGGAGGAAAAAATTCACCGAGAGTCCTGAATCATCGATTCGGTAAAAGTGACACTTAATTGTTTGCGAACGGGCCAGTGGAGAAAGTCGGACTGACGAGGCTCGAGGCAGCGGCCGAGTCAACGAGCAGACGATTTTTTCCTCTTTCCTCTTTAGGTTTCGCTTGAAAATGCAATGTAATTTTTTTTTTTTTTTTTTTTTTTTTTTTTTTTTTTTTTTTTTTTTTTTTTTTTTTTTTTTTTGTAACGAGGTCGCGCTACATTTATCCATTGACTTTGGGAAGCTCCTTACACATGCGTCACGAGTGTCGTTGCGAATACTCTTTTCGTAGTTAAGCGTCTTAATATGCAAGCGCACGTTCGATTAATCCTTATTAATTTCTCTTTGTTGTTAATAGCTCGTTGGCAGCTACATTTAGCTAATCAGTCGTGAGAAATTTTTACGATAGTAGCCGTGATACGATACACCTTACCTTACCCTACGCATCAAATTTTTCTTTTATTGCCATTTTAAAATAGCCAATTGAGGAATCCACATCTTAAAATCGTGGCATAGAGAAAGCAGATTTACAAAACAATTTTCGCTCGATATAGCGTGCACTTTTCTTTCAATATCACATTTCATTATTATTGCTTTCCATTCATACCCCCCCCCAACCCAACCCAACCCCCCCCCCCGCCCCATACAGTTAAATTCTATAGAGTTAAAAAGCCATCGTCAACGAAATTCTCATCCTCGGAAAAGGCCGATGTTATTGGGGTCATTGAACCGGTTTAAGCGAATACCGTGGCTCGTGCGTGCAAAATTGAAGAAAATCTTAATAAAGAAGTAATGTGCGCGCTTAAGAGAGCAATGCCCGTCGACAGGTTGTATATGTAAAACATACGTGTGCCAAAGTCCTTTGATAGTGTCAGAGCGACCAGAGTGGGCAAAAATTCCGCTTAAGCTCCTTGTTCTCGCGCGACCGCAACGTTAGATCTTAAATTTTGCGCACACGAGACTCAGTATTCCGCCTGCAAATTCCGCTTTCACAAAGTTTAGCATTCCACTTAGCATTCGCGTGGTGGATAAGCCAGCGACGTTGTATTTGCCGTTGAGGGAAACGAGCGCGATAAGGAGGAGGAGGAGGACGACGAACCGAAATCCGATGTTGACCGAGATTGACGAGCTCCGACGAGCTCCGACGACGTAAACGCACGGGACGCAATGTCCGTTGGACCCGTTTGCTGGCATCGAGTCGCGGATGCGCACCGAATGAGTCCAGGGTAACGGGGAACGGGGACGGTTATGCGGCCGTGGCCACCAGGTGGCGTGGCACTCACCTGAGTAGGTGCGGTCCTCGGATACAGGGGTATCCCGGGTTGGTCCACGGCTCGTCGACCTCCCGGAGCTCTTCCTCGACGCTCTCGAGCGTTGTCGGCGGACCTTCCTCAGCCACCGCTGACCGCCCACAAGCTTCTTCTTGGTCGGCGAACTCGGCTCCTGCGTTACTTTCGACCTACAATGAGCATCGATTATAAGTTAACGTAGTGATGGATTCGAGGATGCGCAACGGCACCATGAGATTTTTGGTTTTGCGGATGATTATCGAGGGGAAGGACCGTGACCGAAGCACACAATATCAGTTTTTCATTCTCAATATCGGGACTTTATCGGTTTTTTTTCGGTACACTCTAATTCGCCGAAAAGATAATTATTGAATAATAACATTCGATGCGCACACGAGAATGCGCAGCGTAATTGTTTAATGCTTCGAATTAGGAAATTCTCGACAACTTGAATGGCACTTGATTCCTGGACTACGTTAATTTGACAAATACGATTTGATAAAAATTTTACAACTCGTTATTTAATAATCCGGCTCCAAAAAAATTTTCCCTTTAAAAGGTGCGAGAGACTTTGGCTAAAGCTACATCTCTATTTATCGCGAACGAGAGTCTTTTGCGCTAATGACGCTTCGTTACACAAAGATAAATTCACGGGCAATTGAGAAGTCTGTGTTGCACTTTCCTCTTTTGGTACACGAACCTCCTAATCCAACAACTCCCGAGTTCGTGCAAATACGAGGTAGGGGAACGGTCGAGGATCACCATCGAACGCCAAAGCTCCTGCACCCTAGACGGCTGCCCTTTTCTACGTGAAGTGTTGACGCTAGTTGCCGCGAATCACGCGAAGTGAAAGAGAAAGATATAATATGATAGACCGAGGAAGATGTTATTCCGAGGGCTAACGATCTCCGTAGCTTTCCCTTTCGCTCGCCGGCAATCGCGTGACTCGCTCCGTAATGAAACTGCTGTCGATGAAGGGGATGGGATGGGCGGGGGAGTGAGAAGGTTGTGAGCGCGCGCGCGCGCGCGTGTGTGTATGCAGATGAACAAAATTACCCAAAGTCGTCGAGCTGCTGCAAGGTAACTTCCTCGAGGTCCTCCCACTCGGATTCCTTGTCCTGGTGTCCGGCGTGCAAGGATCCAGAGGCGCTCGAGCCCCCGTATAGGCTATTGACGCGCTCGTGGCACTCCTGCCGCGGTGGCAGGTCCACGTCGTCGTAGACGTCCTCGTCACAGTTGACCGCGTGAGCAGGCATCACGTCGTCGTAGACGCTCTCGGCGTCGTAGGGCTCCTCCGGCGAGCTCGAGCCCAATGGACCGACATCGTCGTAAGCGTCCAGCTGCGGTCCCTCGACCACCTCGTCCCCGTCGACGATCTCGGCCGTTTCCTAATATCAAGGTCGCCATTTAATCGCTTGAACGCGTTAGGTCAAGCATGAGTGCGCGCTCGACAGTTGCGCGAATAGCTGAAAGGTCCGTCATAGCCGACATGCTATTGCGAAATCGGCTTCTATTGTATGCGATTACATTAAATATTATTCTGCGTCATCAGCTTCCACGCTCGCGCCAATGGAGCCGCTTATTTTTCCTTTTATTTGCCATTGAAATGATTTAGATTAACAATAGAGACTGACATGCTGCAATGGCATTTTAGAATGTTACTATGCTAATTTCCCTCGGCTTAACGATACGGGCATTATTCTAATAATGACTATAACTTTAAACTTGAAGTATATGGTAAAACTATCTCTTAACGTATCTCTTAACATACCTTCATAATAGCACTTCACTGATATTTCATACACTATATACTTATTAGCAACGATAATTCAAATGAATTATGTACTTTCATACGACCATGATAAATCAGTTTTTTTTCTAATACACATTAATAGGGTATAATTTTATTATTTAACGTAATTATTATAGCATTTTTAAATATAAATTGGGTATTACGTTTCGGAAAAATGTAATAAAATTTACCGGTTTCGCGTAAATGAATGAGAATTTGTGATTTGGTGAAAAAATGTTCATTTAATACTAATCGCCTCAACGTCTCATTATGGTCATTATAATCGTTAAATTAAGAAAAAGGAAAAATTAAGGGAAAGAAAAATTCTCACACATGCGCACGCCCGAACTCCCGCGTACAAGTATCGCTAACTTTAAACGAGCATGACAATATTCATGATTGAGCTGTTTCTCATTTGAATCATTGATTAGTTGTAATTTGTAAACTTTAGAAAAAATTTTTTCGTTAAAAGTGTAGATGATTGCATGAGGTCGAAACTAGGCTTGGGAAATACAGTGTCACGGTATGGTTAGGCTATTGAAATTTTAATGCCGATTTTGTGAAAACGACATTAGTAGTAATAAATACTGCCAATAGTAGTAATAAATTTTTCCGACTCTGTCTAATTCACTCGAGTATTCATTAAATCCTCTCTATCGAAGAATTATCATAACTCGTAATTCTCCAACGTACTGTAAATACATTTATTATAAACGTATATATATATATATATATATATATATATATATATACGTATACACACGTATATGTGATACATTCTTTAAAACGTGAAACATTTTTATATGATTTAATCAACGAAAAATGTTATCTACTTCCGTACGTTCGAGCATGTAGGCACTAAATGCTTTATATAGTCATAGATTAATTTGTAGTAAAATTTCATTATCGTAGAGTACATCGTCGAAATAGAGATAAAAAAAAAAAAAAAAAAAAAAAAAAAAAAAAAAAAAAAAAAAAAAAGAATAAAAAAAATGAAAAATAGGAAGCCCATTTTGTTTTAGGCAAATAACATTACGTGATACAAAGACTTTTTACTTCATACTAAAAACTAATTAAGAATGAAACTTTAACGAGGAATTTTTTTTTTTGTTTCTGTTTTTGTTTTTATTTTGCTATGCTTTGTTCTTCCTTTCTTATTTTTATTGCATTTACACTGCACTAATGTTGATATGTGACATTTAGATTACGCTAATTATGCAATGCCATTTGCACTCTGTACAAATGGCATACGCATCATATATTTCATAAATATTTATGGTGCAATTAAGCTCGGAGATTTAACAAGCTGACGAGAGTATGGATGGGAGAACGGAGATTCCAGCAATTCTTATCCCGAGAATAATTGCCGAATTCATGGCGAAGGAAGCGCCAGGGGAGTGGGCAACAAGCTAATGAGATAACGAAGCAGATAGAAAAGACGATGAGGTTCGGTAATTAAAAAATAAACATTGGGAATTGTCACGTTTGTAAACGTAAAAGTAAACGAATTTTTCACGGAAGAGGTTGGGAATTCAGGCTTAAGTTAATATTGTTGTAAACAGTCTTGGAGATATCGGAGTTTTGGCTCACGAAGCAATATTTAACAAAAACCTCACGATTCGCCGAGCGCACGCGCGTCAACTAACCAAGGCATCGATTGTGTATTATTTATACAAGAAAATAATATTTTTACAGCCAGCGGAGAGGCGAAGCAATGGCGAAAAAAACTTGAATTTCATTGCACGCGCCGTAAGTAATTTCACGAGCAGCCAAATTGCGTAAAGCCCTCCTACCTAATACGTAGGCTATTGCAAGAAATATCGTAAAATCCAAATTGCATTGTGTAGAAAGTAGCGTCACCCATTCGACGGCTCGTTAATTTAATTCGCTCGAAAGCAACGGACAACTCGCCAAAATTTATTCAATCGTCTATCTTTATGATCATTCCATTTATTATCGACGTAATCTCAATACTCGCGAATGTAAACCGCAATATTACTACAATGTTAATTGCAAACCGAATTATACATTGACAAGTAGCAGCAGCCTTAGCATGAACAACGGATTTATCATTATTTGCAATATTATTTTCATTGCAATAAAATAACCGTATACGTATAATGTAGGATAATTTGCTTACGATGATTACGTAGGTGTGCGAGTTATTAAAAAAAATTTCTTCGCCCGACGCTCGTTACGTAAATATTTTTAAGAATTCGTCGTCGATTACATTCTTATCCGCTGATGCAACGACAAATTATCGTCCTTACCCAATAGAGTCGATCTCACCGTCCTTAAGCCCATTTCAAAAGGTCATCTCGCCAAGTCGCCAACGTCACGAATTTATTGCTCATCGACGCACATTTCCGCATTACATCAATGAGCAGGAACATTTATCAATACCCATAAACTCGCTATGATCATTTTTACGCTCTAGATCGTCGTAATCGAACATCGTAATCGAGCTATCAAAAATCTACCTACGTTAAATGATCGACCGATAAATTCACAAATAAACAAATAAACAAACAATCAATCAAGAAACTGAATTAACTCAACCCGTCGTCGGACATTGATCGTACGTTAATTGCTGAAAATGGGCGATTTCATACTCCTCTAAGGCCCTTTCTCTCCACGCGATCCGATCTCACCCTCGACTTATCGATCCTTCGCATGCCCTTCCCCTCTCCTCGAGCTGCTCCGATACTCCCCGCACACGCACGCTACTCCGTTTTTGCCAACATCTACAATCGACAATGCGAAAGAGACGGGCTCGCGTCACTTGGAACGCTCCTGCTGATATTTGGAGTGACATCGACTGGGAAAACTGGATTGTTTGCCAGGGCAATTATCGGCCCGAGTTTCTCTTCCTCGCGAATCTCGCGCGGACGTGACAACCGTTAAGTCTGCTACATCCCCGACCCCGTTCCACTCCGCCTCATCGCCTCATCCACCGCGATGGTGATAGCGAAGGAGCGGCCCTTGCTTACTTGACTCACCGTGACAGCCTCGGGTGGTCCCACGTCGTCGTAGTGATCATCGTCGTCCAGCCGGGCCCAGGGGAAGCCATCGCCGCGAGTGGCCGAGGCCACGTGGACAAAGTTACTCGGCGCTGATATGCTCAGAGACCTGAGCTCGTCGCGCGACAGACTGCGACAACGGGGTCCAGCGGTCTGGCTCCTGTCCGGCCAGACCCCGAGAGACTTGAGCGAGAGGCTCTTGCTCGCGAGCTTCCGGGACTTACGGTAGTAGCGGCGACTGGTCACCGGCACGTAGTGCAGCACGTTCTTGGCGAACGTAAACTCGCGCCGTTTATCGTCCTTGTTGCATCGCTGCTGGCGTAACTCCACCTCCTCCCCCTCCTCCTCCTCCTCCTCCCCTTCTACCTCCTCCGCATTCTCCTCCTCCCCTTCTACCACTCCCCTTCTACCTCCTCCTCATTCTCCTCATTCTCCTCCTCCCCTTCTACCTCCTCCTCATTCTCCTCCTCCCCTTCTACCACCTCCTCGTCCTTTGGCGCCGGGGGTTCGTCCGCTATCTGAAATCAATCATACCGTTCGCATGAGACTAACGCGGGTCAGTTAGGACACGTGGATCTCCCGTACCATTGGGAGAGGAGAATCGAGGCACAACGTTAACGCGCAAAGATTATACCGACCCGCCCGAACACCATCTTCAAACGACCTTCTTCACCGGCTATTGACCAACGATTTTATTAAGCACCCCCGTAGCACGTATCCATCATCCCGTCTCATCCGAGCTGCGCCATGACGGGTTTGAAAAGACGAGATGATCGTTCCTGCTCGCGCTAATACGTAAAGGGATCGGTCCTGCGACGACCAACTTTCACTGGCCGTATAATCGTCGTCGTCGTCGTCGTCGTCCTCGGTCCTTTGAACGCAGCGGGTTTGGATGAAGATTTGGGCACACGTTAGGCATAACCTAACCCTAAGGTCGGCTAACCCGTGGCTCCCTAACGAGTGTCTTTTCCATCGTTTTACGAACGCCTAAAGAACGAAACCTCTTGAAACGAGAGATATCACGGGCTTTGGGCGGAGACGCCTAAAAAGTTTCAAAGTGGAAGTACGAGATAAATGGCAGATGTGAAAGAACTGGTCGCTCGGCCATGATCGCGCACACGATGATACAGGGGACTCGTCCTTAAAAATAATAACGAAGAGGTTTTTATCGATTGGAAGAGCTGACAGCTGCGGTGCGCGCTGAATTATTAATTACGCGCGCGGGGGATTAAGCAAGCGCAGTGATCGGCGATGATGGCTCGAAAATTTGCTGAATTTGCGAAATTTACATGCGAGACCGTTGGTATGTGGGGAGCAGGGATGGGTAGGGGAGACGGAAGTGGCCGGTTGTAAAACGTAAACAGAGCCTATCGCTACGGGTTTGCTCGGCAATTTTTTAACGTCGCAACATCATTATTATTGCAAACATACGGCGCATTACATAATGAACAACTTGATGAATAAAGGGATCGATTACGATTGACGTAGGGATTATTGGGCGACGTAGGAGATGAGCGATGTGAATTTATTCCGTCCGTTTAATGCCGTTAGGATAGCGGAGAGGTGATATTGTGCGAATAATCATGCGAACGCGCGTGACGGCATTTACATTTATACCGGCTGCGATGAACTTTGCCAAGGGACAGGCCGCGTAGCTCCACCTTCTCTTCCCAGAAGGTTTAATTTAAAAAAGTAGAAGAAGAGAAGAATAAAGAAGATGACGAAAGAAAAATAAGAAAAAGACGAAGAAGAAGCAGACGATGATGATGAAATAAGAAGCAGAAGATATAATAAGAAATGGAAAAGCATGAGAAGAGAAGGAAGAGAAATGGAGTGCGATGAAAACTTGTTTTCGACACTGGGATGGAGGGGAGGTAATTATTGAGAGGCGACGTGGATGTGGCGAGGGAAAGTAAGCGGGACGAGATTCTTAGTTAGCTAATAAGCGCTAAGGATATTCCCGAGCGCAGCTAGACATCACCGGAGTAAAATATTAATAAAGCGGTAGCGGGTAGTAGAGCGTTCGTCGGTGCATCCGAAATCGAAGTTATATTTAACGAACAAAGTTTATAACGAGCGATATAATCTTCATGAACGGAGGATGGATTATAAGGAGGCTAAGTGTCGCGGGCAACAATTGGGCTGTACGCGCACCGGTCGAGGCGAACTCGAGGCACCCGACAACCGGACAAGAGTGACACTAGACGTTGAGGATTCGCGGCCGTCTGAGTCTGACCTTGGGGTTGGCCGGTGAATCGTTGGGCGGGAGCCGCAGGGGTAGACTGGCCCGGCTGAGGGCGAGGCCGTCGAGGCTCGCGTAGACGAGTCGCGACTGCCGCTCGCCGTAAAGGAAGCTCCGGTTGGCGAGGGGCCCGGGGCCCGTCATCTCGACGCCGCTCGCATCTCTCACCTGGCGCGCGCAGACTGGCCGGGGCCGGGAACTCGTCGTCGCGCTCGATTGCCACCGCCGTCGTCGTCGCAACGGCCGCTTTCGCCGCCGCTGCCGCTGCCGCTGCCACCACCCTCCACCGCCGCCGCCGCCACCGCCACCGCTACCGCCGATCTCAACTGGAGGGGCGCGGCCAGCTATGGTGGGGGCCGACGATCGCGACCGGACCCCGAGTGAGTCACGCTAACATCAAGGTCGGAGCACCGCACCTATCCCCGACCCCGCGTCCCGTAACCGGCCCGAATTCGCGGCAGAATCTCCGTAGCGCTGGACCGGTAGGATGGGAGAACGGTAAGGGGCCCCCGGATCCGGAAACGAAAAGGAGAAAATAGAGGTGAGGACTGGCTCCTCGAGGATTGGTCGTTGGCCGCGCGCGAGAGAGAAGGAGAGCCGCATTCCAGAGGGACCGACGCACCGCGAGGATTCCACGACGTAGCGTCGAGAGGCTCGCGAGTGTTCGCTCGACGGCTCTCGGCAACCTGCAACCGATAAACTCGTTCCTCACGGCAGCTGTCAGCCGTTTATGCGGAAGCGCAGGAATCCGGGCCTCGCTCGCCTTCCATCGCTCGGACGCTTCGAGCGCCGCCGAATCGTCGAGAAATTCTGTTTAGAGTTTAACGGATCGCTCGCACCGTCCTTCTTTGCTTTCAGGTTGTTGGATGAGCGTGTGGGACGAGCGTCGTTGCGACAGATGACAGATCGTGCGCTTCTTCCGACCGGCGTTCTTCATCTCGACGTTCATCCGCTCGGGCCGAAGGGCCCCGCACGACACGCGTGTAAGAAGCACAAAGGCGAATGAGTCGATATGGCTCCTCCCGTGCCCCCTTAAGCTCCTCGAGCCGAAACTGCATGAAGATGTCCCGAGATCGCGGACGGCGAGGATATACCGATTCGGATCTACCGATGGGGCCTCCGCGTCTCTTCCCCTATGCGCTCGCCGACATACCGAACGACCTAGACGCGCCTCTGCCTCTCTCTCTCTCTCTCTCTCTCTCTCTCTCTCTGAGATTGAGAGAAAGAGGTGCAGAATGGGCCGCGAATAGAGCAAGGGGGCAGTCGCGGGGATGTGATCGCGGCTCGAGTCGCTTCCTCGCGCGCTTATCGTGTGCAAGACAACGAGCCGATTAGATTAGCCGGTTCCCGCGCGTGTCCGTCCCCCTCCCCGAATGAGTCTCGACCATCGCACGGTACTCGGCCGCTGACATAAGCCCCCGAAAGCGGCGTAGCAGTTGCCAACGAGTAGCCGGCCAATCGACAGCTCTCGCCGCCGTAATGTCGCTCGAACAGGTACGTAAGCAAACGGTTACGCAAGTACCCGGGATCCCGATAGGAGCAGGGATCCTCGATCGTCCGTCTCGAGTGCGCGGAGCAGCCACGGGGCAGAGGATATTATTATTTTACTTCGTCGGCTCGCCGAGATGCCGAAAACGAAAAAGCAGCGCATGACGTTGCGACTTTGCTTACTTCGTGCATACAATTGGCTAATCGTGATTCTCAAGCCTCTCCTTTCTCTCGATAACAGCGACTCTCCGCGCGATTTACTTTTACGGGGCGGGGGCGGGGGGGGGCGGGGGGGGGGTGGGGAGAGTTAGGG